GTAAAGAGAGAAAAATATATTCACAAAGAAAACTTGCATGCCACCACCATCCAGTTGAATCGTAAAAATTTAGATTTGTTATTCAGTCCTTGAAATATATCACTTACCAACCACTTCTTGAAAATATTGCACAAAAGATTCCCTCAACTTCACAACTTTTTAGTCAGCAGTGTTTCGAGTGCAAGTAAAGTAACCTCTTGCAAGAAATAACCGCAAGAAAGTGGTTTCTTCAGGCTGTTTTGAAATGCAAGGCGCAAGAACTATGCTCCGCCGCTATTTTTCATATGGCTAAATTGTGCTATTTCTTGCACTTTCTCCCAGTTTCTTGCACCTTAGATTTCTCGTTTTGCACTGCAAGAAATGCAGCAAATCCGCACTAAACGGAACCCTGACTCCCGGCGAAAGTCGTGTTGTCTGTGCTGGTGAATTCATCCTCAAGCACCCATCACTCACATCCCATGGTTAGTAAAAAGAACGTTTATTCATTTGTCATTCCCATACTTTTTCTGACAATCACGCAGAAGAGCGCATCAACATTTATACCCACGTAAAGCACACTCCTCGTGCATCATCATCATCAACATGAAGTTCTCCATCAAATCAGGAAATTCATACAGTGGTGAAAATAAGAGTGGTGGAGAGAAAGTTTTTTTTTGAGAAATTGGAGAAACATTTCCACCAACTTGGATTTCATGGATTCCTAAACTTCGCCGTGATTCTAGAATTGCCGTGTGCTCCCTTTCGAGCACAACTGTCTCTCCTCGTCACGGTGAAAGTGGTTCACTCACTCTCCAACTTGGGCTGAACCACTTTGCTTTTGATGTGATATGAATGAATGCCACTTTGTCTTCAAATGGAGACGACCGTTTTAGGAGAACATTTCTCGGAAAATGGGCAAAAACAATTTTTCACGGATGAACTGGAAAGGATGACTTGGATTGATGAAGGTCCCCTCACTCGCTCCCTCACTCACAGTCGGTGACTCGAACAATAATAAATATGACAAGCGAGTGACCAGATGCTGAGCTGAACAATATAGTCAGATTCAATTTGTATTGTGAAATTTGTCATGTGTCACATACTTTTGTAGCTTTTCGATTTTTGTCAAATTAGTTCTTTTCAAGATGTTGACCTCCGACTACTCGGGTTGAATAAAAGGGCGTGATTGATGATTGAGCACGGAAAAAGAGCAGGCTTCGTCAGTGGCCGCGGAAGCTGTGGGGGCATCTGGGACATTAACATTGCGAGATAGGGGAGGGAGGGGTCTATACAACATGGGGAAGATGCTGGGGACATCGAATAATCGTGGAACATTGTCCCCCTGTCCCCACGCTTCCGCGGCCACTATCCTTCATCAACGCGCTGCTTGTTAATGTTACTTACTCCAACTTTTTCTCAACTTTTATACTCGTGAAATTTGAAAAAAATGACAATAAGTAAGTAAATATCAACTAATAATATTTAGGAACTCGAGCCGTCCAAATTAGACCACGACGTGCCAACTTTTAGACGGAGAAAGTGGAAAAAAATGACGAAATATACATATTTTTGAGTGGAAGGGAGAGCAGAGGAGGTCGAGATTAAGCTGCTGAGCTGAGCTGGCGTGGAAAATGAGATAAGTAAAAGATGGAAAATGAAGTGAATATAGGAAGCGGAGGAGGATGAGATCAAGAAGCAAATAGCATTTCCTTCATTGAATTCGGTCCTTGCAACCTTTTATCCAACTTCCGAACGATTTGAATACTAATGATGCTCTCCTTCTTCTCGTGTGTGTGTTGTCCTCGTCTAATTCGAGTGGAAATAGTGGAGCGTAGCATAGTTAGGTGGCTGGATGTAGACTTCTTTGAATTACTTTGGGCCAACTTTTGACTTAAAAGACTGTAGTTGACTTTTTGAAGTAAAATTCAACTACTGAGTGCTAATAAGTGAGATGAGATGAGGCATTATTGCGAAGAAAAATATTTATAATTCCACTTACATGAAAGAAAATTAGATTTCTTTGAAAATACAATTTTCTTGGGGGAGGAGAAGACCAATTGATTTTATTCATTAGAGTTTTTTTTATGTTTGTTGAAAAATAGAAAGTCTAATTTTTGCTTGTCTTATCAAGTCCGCCAGTTCAGCTTGGTCTTGGTATGCATCCTGCTGACTGAGGAGTGATGGAAAGAAAGGATTTATTTATTTGTTGCGTCACGAGTTTTCTGCAGAAAAAATGCCTACTCGGCTAGACTAACAGGTTGTACGCTTTTAGAGTACCAGCTAACTAACAAATGTCAGCTTAAAACATAAATCAGCCTTTTTGCTTATTACTTCCTCTGGGAGAAGGATTTGGTTTGTGGGGCTCACCCCATTTTTTATATTTCCGGTGTCGTGTCAATAACAAAAATTTCACTCAGAGCAATAGAAAATAAATATTTGTCATATTCTTAAAATATTTGAAATCTTCAGCTACTCGTGTAAATCCAGTGGGTTTGGTTTGTGGGGCATTTTTTCTAGTGTCAATAACAAAAATTTCACTCTAAGAGCAATAGAAAATGAATAAATAGTTGTCATATTTTTTTTGAAATATTAAGGTTCGAAATCTTCATCTACATATGTGCACGTGTGCATAAATCCAGTTTAAAACTACATAGCTATAAATCCTCCTTCAACTTTACTCCTCTTTCTATTTCACTAATTGAAAATGTTTCGGCCATTACAATGCTACCAAATTTCGTTGAAAAGCCTTTTACTAGGTTTCAAATCCTTTAATGTATGTATAGTTGAATGATTTCATTCAAATAAAATGTTTTCTTTAGTGTCTTCCGTTTCGTTCGTGGGTAGAGAAAATTTAACATAGACTTTCCTTCCTCCTCCTCCTCTTGCTTGTCCAAGATTTATAGATTATCGGACTAGAATCCTTCCAACCAAGCTTGAATTATTCGAGTCTTAAGCGATTAAGCCATTCAGAGAGGATTTTATTAAATCGTTCTGTTTCTTTTTCTTCTTCTTAAATTGCAACATTCGGATTTCACAGTTTTTTTATACGCATTAGAAAAGAGTATTTTTATAGTGAGTGAGTGAGAACTGTTTATTTTTCAAGCAGAGCCTTGAGTAGATCAGATGGCAGATTTTGTAATTTTGTCGGAAAGAAAACGTAATCCTGAGACGGAAGGAAACAAATTCAGGATTAAACCAACAGCACAACTTTCTCGATTCGACAGAAGAAGAAATCTAGAGAGAAACAAACCACTCGAGCGACGTGGATCGTAGCTTTTGTTGACATCCACTGACCCACATCCATCTTTCTCAAGCAAGACACATCTCCCATCCATGACCCTCTTACATGCAGACTTCTCTCTCTCCTGAGCCTGGTATCTGGCTAGCATGTCCCTCGATCATGAATGTGTAGAGGAGAAAGCAGAGGGGAAGATTCAGTTATTAAATATTCAAGGAAGCCAACCCATTCCATCCACTCGCTCATTGCTGCCGTTCACTTTCTCCAATTCGGACACAACACGGACCGATCAACCAAGTAGCCAAACAACACGGAATCTCAAGTCCGACTTACTTTCTCTCTTGCAATGAAGCAATTTAAAGGATTAATGTCTCCTATCTTAAATGAAAGCAGCTCTTTCTTTAATTTCCTCCTGCATGTGTGTGTCTCACTAGCGAAACTTTTTTGCAAAAATTTCCTCCTTCTCTTCATCGTGGAAGCAAGGGCATTTGCATTTTGCAAACGTAACGAGTTATTTAGTCGTGTAGTTTACTTGGTGGGACGACGTTACAAACCGTCCTTGTCGTGATGCTGGTGTGGAACGAACACACGACGCCGTCATCATCATTACGCACGCACATAACTCAAAGGGAGAGAAGGTCCCATTTACTTCTTCATTCAGAAGAAGGAGGAGAAAGTTTTTCGGTTTTAGTATCGCATCCGTGACCCAGAGATGCTGATTGTCCCGCTTTTTGCGGGTAACTTGATTACCCGCATTTACATTGAAGCGTAATCGGTGAATAAGCACGAAAGATTGTAAATGTTAGGAAATATTTACAAGTCCTAGTTTACCCCACCTGTTTCCAATTCTAGATATAAACACGAAAGATTGCAAATGCTGTAAAAACGAGTCTCATGTTTCCATTTCTCACGCCATGCGTATCTAGTAGCGTTATCAATTTAGTTATTTGACGACTGACCTTGTCTTCATTTTTTTGGAGGGACGAGAGCACTTTGGTGGGCAAGGGACTGTGTCAGCGGAGATAAGCAGGGCGAGAAATGATGGATCATCTCTAAACGGATTTTCTCCAGTTTGACAAGTTATTCAATAAGAAAGACGCAGACTGCTGAAGACAAAAAAGTTTGAATACATCTGGTAATCTGCTCGAGTATAGGACTCCAGTGGGAAATAACCCTGCAATTGTTATGCTATTCATTTCATGCCCAGTTTTCACCACCTCCATCCAGCAGAGCATAACTACACCACACTTCCTGTGAAAAACGAGCTCGTTTCACATGATAAAAAATGAATGGAACGACGAGAGATCAAACAGACTTTGGTCCTCTCTGTATTCATGATCACGTATTTAAAGTAATGTTATCCCCCTTTACTTTGTAGAACAAGGGAGGAAATATTCGCTTGTGTGACAGGCACGGACTTAACTTACAATGGAGGTCTTCCAGCGAATGCTCGCAGATTTTGAGCAAATTAGTGTCAATCGATCGCAAATTAGTTAATATGATATGTGCAAAAGGCACTATCCACTAATTTTCAGGTTTGGCGGAGATATTTGCACCCGAAGAGGAGAAAACACGCCCTAACGTCTGCGCGCTTTCTCCACCTCGGATGCAAATATCTATGCCGAATCTGAGCATTGGCAGACTGTGTCTTTTGCAAATTTGATGTTAATCAAATTTGTGATAGATTAGCACTATTTTGCCCAAAATCTGCGAGCATACGCTGGGATACCTCCCTTGTTAGAAGAGTTACTTGTACAGAGAGAAAAACAGAGAAAGCACTCACAGCTTGCCACCTCCATGCTGCATATTTGTCGGTCAAGCGGACTGTAATCAAAGAGAGAGAATATAATACTCGCTAAATTTCGCTTTAGACAATAAAGAGAATATATAACTTACAATTTGGACAGGTCCATCATACAGGAGAAAGTGACTTTTAACCTGTTGGTTCATTACATACAGGAGCACAAAATAAGAATAGAAATTAGACACGGTCTGCCACATGAGTGAAAGTACTACTTATAAAGCCAGCCAGACGCAGACGGAAAGCTGCAGCCAAAGTCGATCTCATAAATCTTTCAGACTTGCGAGAGATTCTATTTTATAAGGTGCAAAATCCGGAGCTTATCGTAGTCTCCTCTGGACAATAAACTTACGGAGAAACCTTTCCCATTTAAAGTAATGTTAACAAAGGAACAAAAGTAGAACGCGTATCTACAAATTCTCTTTATTCCTTACAGGTGCAAGCAAACCTGGGCGGAATTGAGACTCACACAAGCATACAAAATAAAGGAACGTTACATAGACTGGAAACTTGATACGATCCAATAATGGACTGACTCGAGTATGACTTTGAACCTAAATGGGTTATCATGCCTGCCAGTTGTGTCAGAAAAATGAAACAAAACAGATAAGTCGCAGGTTAACTCGGTCCGATTGATTGTCGATCCTTTTATATTTTCTCCCGAAAAAATAAAAAAAAACAAGAAATCGAAAAAGTTGAAATGGAAATAAATCAGAATTATACGAAAACACAGATCATGACTACACTACCAACACGAATGTAAAATGTATCTGCTTGCCTGAGCATGTACAGAATTTTTCCATCGGGGTGAATCCTACACAGAAACGTTCCGAGATTAATAACAGGATCCGTAGATGGATATTTTTGGCCCTATGTAACAGATATCAATTGATAAACAAACCTCACGAGGACATTTGGCACCGTGACGAACTGGAAATCAGCGTCCTTCGCGTTGGGAAAGTAGACTTCAGGTTTCCAAATCGCTTTCACCAAATTCGGATCGTTGAGATCCATTGGACGCTTGATGTCTTTGTGCTTCAAGCGTTCGTCAACCCATTGCTGTCTTAGGTACAGATCCACTTTGTAGTCCTGTACGCAAATACAAGTACAAATCAAAGCGCAATTTTACTCCCAACCCCATTTTTCTCGACCGTGGACCAGAAATCAACCAGCAGAATCCCACGCAAACAGTAGGATTTTTATAAACCACATCTGTAGCACTAATACCAGAGTGTTATGTACGTTAGACTACTACGCACACAACCGAAAATTCTCTTACTTTCCTTGCAATGCATGTCTTGGGTAATTATTTGCCTTCGTGGTATTTACCAAGGTCTAGCAAAAGCTTAGGAGAAGAAGGTACGACTGTCTACCGCGAGATAGATGATGGTCACTTAAGCCTCGTGTTAATTGCCCATTAGTGTCGATGCAAGAGAAAGGAGTTCTTGGCATGTTTGCTTCCACCGACTGGTTTAATTTCCACGGGGTGGCACCGTCTGATGCGGACAAAGGGAAAAGGTGACTGTCAGAGCAGGAGGTGTTATTGCAACGTCGCCAACACATGTAACCTGTCCTGGCAGAGAGTTGCCTTGCTAAACTTTCTCTGGGGAATATTCCCGACGTATATTTCCCCCATCCAGGGAGGACTGTGATTCATAAATACGCCAAAAATTGAATGATCCACATCCATCCCCGTGTTACTTGCTAACAACTGACACACATACTACTCCCCAATTTGTATTCTTGAAATGATTGCATTTGTAGAAGAGAAAAAAAGAAGAAAGCAAATCTAACCAAACAATATCCTATTCTGCTCTGATTTCCATTTTACTTTCAACTACAAGCAAACCAAAAGCCGTGTGTACAAATAACGGCGTGGGTATTATTTATTTGCGAGTTCAATACGGACTCAGACCTGGGAAAGGTTGGATCACTTATATGATTTTTGACTCGAGCGAGAGAAAGGGAAGGGAAAATGATACCATTTCCCGTCACGTATCATGTGTCAGTTAGACGAGGCAAACCACATTTCCAACATTATCTCTGACAAACAGCAGAGTGGTCGTGGATCGGTGAGTGCAGTAATTCGACCACTTTGTTGCGCCACCACTTGCTTTCACCTTGTGTGATATGATAATGTCCGTCCCATACATACATATTTGCTTGGTTTGATCACATTTATATACATGCCTTATGACAGGACAGTTATTAGAGTTTTCTATGTATATATGTACATAGTTTTATATAAATAAATTGAGTGTAAAATAATTTGCTATGTACAACAAAAACTTGGGGAATGAAAGTAATTCAATTCGCCATTCTGCCCGACATGAATGTGCACGTTTACGTGAAGCATGGGGTCACCAGCGGAGAGAAGAGTCGTTGAGGGGATACTTATGCGAGTCGTGAAACGATACGACAATTTTAAATGTAGCTGAAAAGTAAAGGAAAGAAACGAGGTTCGGGTCCAATTGTGACTTGGAATTGAAAGCGTGGCGGTCATTAAGGTCTTGAAAATGTGCTCGGCTTGTTTAACGGGCACGAGGTTGCAATATGAAAATTTATGTAATACTAAGGTAGGAATTAGAAAAGTTTTTTTTAATCCGCATAAATGTTCAAGTCTTTAGTGGAATAATGCAGCATTGCGGAATAAATCGGAGAGTGGGACGAAAAAACTTTGCTGATTGATTGATTGATTGCGTTAATGGTGCCCATTTACCTTAAGTATGAAAATGAACAGGGATTTCTATTTTTAGACTATTTTAGCATGTGGCCTGATTTCCTAAGAAATGTAAATATATAGTTTCACTTTAAGAGAAGCTTACCATAGTCAATGGGTTAGGGCTGAAAAAGTAATTAGGAGAAAATTATTGCAACTTAGGCGTGAAAAACTTGCGCCATAGTAAATACAGAAGAATAAGTGTTTGCAAATTACCTGCCAAAACTTCGCACAAATAATTCACACCATACCTATAGTTACATATGTATATGGAAGCAAGATATATAAATTATCTAGTTTCACATAAATAATCTCACAGCATATTTTATGTAGCACTGGTATTTGTTCGAGATTTTACCCGTGTCGGGGTTGTGTTATCTGAAATAAGTTTCAAACCAAGTTGAAATTAAGCTTTTGATCTATTATTAATTCCCAGCATTCCAGACATATTAATCAATTAGGTAAGCCTCGAGATCAATTAACTTACTCAAGTGGTTGGTCGGAGTAGCTCTTCGGTCGTAACCTTTATACGTAAAACATAGGAAAACAATTAAACCATAGTTAGAAAACCTTAAGGGAAGATTCCTCGCAGGTATTCAAACTAGAAATATCTCCAAATTGGTCATACCTTCCTTAAGAAGGCGATCCAGCGTCACCAGGTCTTCCAGAGTTCCTCCATTCCTGTTACGTAATTTGGCACAAATTAGAAAATTATGCAACCTTTTTTAATAACAATGGAATTCGTAACACTGCTCGTTGGCAAATTCCCAGGGTTGCCTTTTATTTCCAGTGCACAAATTTGCAATTAATTGTGTAACGAATCCTGGCCCTTGAATTCATGAACGAGATATGCAATCAAAAGGGTTAAATTACAGCCAGACAAATTATGTAAAAAGGCAGATTCATATTTCGTCAATAGCCAACTATATTAAATTTTTAGTCAGTGAAGCCACCAGTCTGCCAAAAAGCCAGCGAGTCCTCCATCCACCACACTATAAATTCAGCAACCACAAAGCACATTATTCGTATCCTCATATATTCTAGCGAAACCAAAGGAAAACATGAAAACAAACGAATTTTGTCTCATGGAAAGTTGGCTCTTCTCATCCTGAATCCTTAATTTAAATAAGACTGTCTCGTTTTTTATTAACTTTCTCCCATTCAACTTTCCTCCTTTTCCTTCCTCCAATCAATGCCACGCCACGCCACGCCACCCAAACAAATTCTCAATCAACAACTCAAATGTTATACTCCTTCCGCAATAAATTATTCATCAAATTTAGATGAATGAATTCGATCCTGACCTAAAACTTATAGATTTGCACGTATATATTGTGACTTACACGGGTTGGTTCAGTTCAGGAATCACAAGCAGGTACGAGCAACTAAATAAGCACTTGAGGATCCACTGGGGGCCAAGTTTATGCCGAAAAGTAGCCTGGCTTCCCATCTTGCTAGATAGAAGAAAAAACAGAGCGTGTGGATTGATGTGCTTCGGGTTGGAGATCTTGCAATCACTTTTTCGCCAGCTTTCACCACCAGCAAGCTACTCCCACTGAGAAGAAATATGTGTACACAATGCCGTCTTTTGAGACGAGATTGTCTCAATCGGGGAGCTAAATAGATAAACACGTCGTGCGGAGTGTACAAATTAATTACAAAATTCACTCTTGTTTTAATTATATTTTATGAATTTTGTTCCCAGTGAAAGTTTCCTCCCCCGCAAGTTTCGAGTATTCTCACCGTGGCGCAACTTTTCTTTGCTTAAATTGTTATAATTTTCTTTTAATTACTTGAAAACACAGCGGTATGTTATTTATTCGTTAATTACTTCTTCGTCCAACTTGAATACTTTGTGTTTATTTTTCACAACAATAATAATTATAAGTTGGTTGTTGATTATACTGTATCGTTCGTTCGTAGTGAATGGCGAGATTCCAGAATGTGAGCTTGCAGTGGAGGAAAAGTTGGAGTTTGGTGCATTCTCCTCGGAGGGAGAAAGTTATCCGGGTGCAGGCTAAAAGTTTACTGAGAAAATTTCCAACCAGATCCGAATTTAAGAGTTGTGGATGGATCCATCCGCTCCTCTGCATCATCATCATCATCCCCAGAAAAGCAGAAGCAGCAGCAGTAGCTAGCAGAAATCCACAACCTAAATGGCTCAAGAATCAGCGACGACTCAACCTGATCGACACTTTGACTTGGACAACCCGATCACGGCTGGCACTTTCCTCCTGTCGGGATAGTTTGAAGGCTAATCTGTGGCATTGCGATGCGAATATGTAGTCAGGCAGATGCTAAATACATGCATGGAGAGGAAATTTAATCGTTAATGATTAACGATTAATTGTAAATTAAAGGAGTGAGGCGATACATATCTGCACGAGGGGAAAGTTCAATTGTTCTTCAGAAGAGATGAGTTGTTAACAAAATTGCGAACTATTATCAAAATTTCGAATTGGTATCAAAACGTCATTAGAAAAAATTTCGCGTTCGCATTCTCAAAATTTCGGTATTAGTCACCAGCAGCTTATCTTGCTAATCTGACGAGAATGTCGCCAGAGTTTAAAAAAATAAGCTACAATTATAACTCAAATGTTGGAAATCCCTTTTAAGACACAAAACTTAAGACTTTTAGGACAGATTTAAAACCTTCGATGATAAAATTGTACGCACACGAGGGAGGATAAAACCAGAATAAAACCAATATTTGCTACACCATAAAAAATGCATTGGTTGGTGGACACAGGTTTCGTTTTAGTTATTGGTTATGCTTGTTCGCTAGAGTGAAAGTAATATATTATTTTCCATGTTGAGCAACGCCATGGTCTCTGCGACGTGTGCGCCCAAAAACTCGTTTGTATTCAAGTCCTTGTTCGCATTCTCGATTTTGATGCTAGGAAGAAATTGGTGAATTTGCATGTATGAAGGTATCAGCCGGCATGATAGAATTGGATTGAAACAAACACACACGAGAGGTCAAATACGGCTGGGTTATTCAATTTCTAGAAATTTTGGAAATGCATCATTAATTTTAGTGAGGTGATCACTATTCGATGCAGATTCTCAATTAAATTGTAGATGCAGCATATGTTAATTCGAATATTTTCACTAGTTTTCACCTGCAGTGGATTTATCGGTTCCCAGGAAAGAAACAAATTCCATGCCCATCCACCGGATTGGAAACCTCGCAAAATTTTGGCAACATTTTGCAATCTAGAAGGACAGAAGTTTCCATTTAAATAAAAATAAAAATCTTCTCAAATGTTTGGAAATGCTATCAGTTTGTTCCGCTCGTGTGTTCATGCATACGCAAGGAGAAAGTTGGGCAGAGCAGCAGATCGTAAGGAGAAAGAAAGTCTTTTAATATGGACCATTTGTGTGCATTGTGTGGTTCACAATATGCGACGTGTGCGTTATTCGTACCAATATTTGTTTTGTTACCATCGGGAGCACCGTTATTAAAAAAGTGTGTAGTTAGTCACACCATTTGGCTTCCTTTCTTTCCTCTGCTTACATATGTACGTGCGACAACTATAAAAGTATAATGTCCAAAGAAATGTGTGGCACGTGGCAAACTGCGGATATTCGGTTCCTTTATCTGCAAAATAAATACAAGCATCGACCAAAACAAACCACGCTTTATTAACATTTCAAATCATAATCATCCTGCATAAAGTTAAATTAATAGTTAAGTTAAAATAGTAATAAACGACATAAAATATCATAAAATATTCATCAATCATACAGTATGTGAGAGTAAAAGAGTGTGTTTTTGGTGAAATGAATGTTATGTGTTCGAAAATATGCACCGATGTCGTAACAACATCTCCATAATTACACAATAGTAAATTCTCGATTTTCTCAACATTCATTGCAGCAAATTTTATTGACTCTGAGTATTTGGTAAAAATCAGTAATCTCAACTTTTCCTCAACTTTTTCTCAACAAAATAACGCCTTGTTTTCTAAACGATTTGGTCCTCTTTGAGATCGAATTGGAACCACTTCAAAATGTATTTGGCAATAAGGCTCACGCTAATTTTATCTTGCCTGATCTTGATCGCGGTGAAGGATGCATTCGCTGTGGTCAGAGACTGTGAGTCATATCAGAAACAAGGCGACCAAACATTCTGTAATCGACTGGTAATTCGATAAATTGGTCTTTTTTGAATTATGCAATTTTCTAACTACCAGAATTTATTATTTTTCAGCAAGAAAATACAGACAAGAAGAATGAATACTCGTTACTAAATGCAATCGGAGCTCTGAAAATTAGCAACTATTCGTTCCCACTTGTTACCGACTTTTGGGACACGCTTATTGGGTTTGACGAACCCTTGTACCCCATCCCACTCGGACCTTCGATTTACTTCTGTTTGTGCATAGCAATCGTATTTTGCTACTTTGTGTCCAAAGCGATTCACGCTTATTTCGAGTCGACCAAAAAGAAAATGATTCTTCATCCGGAAACTGCCAAACTGCCGATGCTTCCCTTGTACTGGTTGCAACAATCCAAGAGAGAACAATCGTTGAAACGAGAAGTACGCAATACTTGGGCATGGCTGGCTAAAAAATTCATGCTTTCACCCAGTGACCCATTGCTCGGTAATAATCAGGAAATGCAATGCTGCTACATGTTACACAATTTATACGTGCATACAATGGAGATCTCCCAATGTGTTCTCACCGATTTTGACCAAATTAATGTCAATCGGTCACGAATTTAACTAATATGATATTTGCAAAATACACTACCTATATGCCAATGATGAGGTTTGGCGGAGATATTTGCATCCGAAGAGGAGAACACGTGCAGTAAGTTCGGAAAGTGTAACGTTTATGAACTTCGGGCACATTTTCTCTTCTTCGGATGCAAATATCTCTCAAATTTGCGAATTGGGAGATTGCACCTTTTTGCAAATTTTATATTAATTAAATTTGTGAACGATTTAGACTAATTTGAACAAAATCGGAGGGCATACGTTGGAAGACCTCCATTGTTACTAAAATGTAACCACAATCATCAATATTTTGCTGTGCAGATGGAATTGACGAAGCTCTGAGCAACACGACATGGGATGACTTTCAGGTCCCGAGAGACACCTGGTCACTCCTCAACATCGTGATGGCGTTGAACGACCTTTACGTCGATGTCCAGCCTGATGGGGACAAAAAAAGTTTGAAAGTTATGCATGGAACTGCAACCCGAGGCTCACGAAAGCATCGCAGATCGCCCTTTTCCCACCTGCCTCGCGACTTCATTCCAAGCGATCTTGAAATCGAGGATGACGAAGAGACGGGCAAAGAACAACCGGCCGAAGAAACACCAATTGTCACCCCGATAGACCTACCAAAGCAAGATGAAGACAAAGCAATTGAGGAGACGCACGCAGAACCATCCGTTTTGCCACAAGAAGACAAACCACCGGAAGGGGACGGAGATATTCAGCCACAAGAGGCGACCTATACGCCGGATCAAGTTCCCCCCACAGTAGAACCTGACAAGAAAAAGAAACACAAGAAGAAGGGAAAACGGCGTCACTCGAAAGGACGAAAGGCTCCCAAGAATCGAGAAGAAAGCGAGGAAAATGTAGAAAATACTGCATCCGCACCTGAAATGGATAACAACGGAAGCAAAAGCAAGAAACACAAGAAAAGACGAAAGGCTAAAAATGAAAAACAAGACGAACCCAAAGAAGAGGAGGACGCACAGCCTAAAAAACACGAATCTGCTCCAATCACAGTAACTGACCGAATCCCAGTTGAGACGGTGGCTCCAGCAGAAAACACTGCGAGGGACCACAAACGACACAAAAAATCGAAAAAACGCGCAAAATCGGAAGATATTATTCCTCCGAAGGAAGAAAAATTAGATGAGCCCCCTCCGAAACAGGCCTCCTCAGAACCACCTCAGTCCGAAAGCGAACCCAAGAAAGGAAGTAAAAAGAAAGCACGTCGACGTTCATCAGTACCTCAGACTGATCTGGAACAACGAAACCCTGTAAATCCACCGGCACCCGAACCTTTGCAGAAACCTTCGAAACCTCGACCTTCAGGGCAAGGAATGCTCACAACGATTAAAAAGAAACTATCAAATTTTCAACCGACTTATTCAGCTCCAAGGAAGAGTTTGGGACAAGCCAAAGGTGAAAACCCGAAGAGAACGTCTCAAGAACAACCTCCACCATCCTTGAAACCTTTGGGAAAGAGGGCCTCGGTACTACCGAAACTGGAGCGACCACGTTCTCCTCCCTCGAAAGAACCACCCGCTAAAAAAATTGCGAATACTGAAGTTCTAAAAAGTCCAGAAGATAAGGGGCCAGATTTCCGAAACGCCCAGCAAGACTCGAAACTGCCTGAAAATATTCCACAACAACACGAGGAGAAACACCAAGTTGAACCGGGAACTGGAGAAATTTTTCTACACATTAATATGCCAAAGAAGCGATATCATTATCATGGGAAAGATCGCAAGCATCGTCGAAAACGACACTAATTAATTGTATAATTATCCATGCTAGTTATTTTTTAGAGATTTATTTTCAATTAGTGTAATTGTAATTAAAATGGGATGAATAATACAAAATTAATTTCCGCTGAATGGGCACGCTTTTCCATTAATTTCTCTCCAAAAAAGAGGTGCCAGTTGATTAAAACTATTTATAATGGCATATCAAAATATGTAACAAATTTGGTCTTAACCACGCTTTTATCTCTTTCACTACGCACCCAATTTGGAATATAGACGAATAAAATGTAATAAACGACGGCAATACCAAGTACCAAGTCAAACTAATTATCTACTTATTGTAAGTTACACCTCGTATGCACGTCGTTTTCAGGTGGCGAAAAGAGTACTTTCACGTAAATATCAATTACTTTCTCCCAGTTTTCCTCATCTCTGGTTTTCACCCAAACAATTCAATACCACCGATTTTCCCCTTCCTCGTTCCTTTATGATGTTGATATTGCCATTGATTCATTACTTTCGCCACATTCTCCAAAACTTAATTTTGTCACGTTTGACGATAACAGAACGGTCGTAGCTACACAGCTCACGGCATGTCAACCTCATCTCCTCTCAACTTCCTCGTTCTCTGCTAAATAACTCGCACTGATTGGCAACACGGGATATGGGATGTGCTACATTAAACCAGTTTCAAGCTGGAACACGGAATAAAATCCAGATCAATAAGATTCCCATCAGATTTTGAGAGGAGGAAAAAGTTGAATCACGACCTCATATTTACTTACGAGTGGCTAAGCCATACTCATAAATTTAATCAATTTTCGCAACGGAAGTTCAGGTGGAATTATGCTCTTCGTCTCATTCAATTGAGCTCCAGGATGGGCAAAATGCGTTTCCGTAGAGTGCTAATCGATACTGGAAGCAGTTTTGTAAGAATTTTGCCTTCTAAAAATTATTTGTGTGACTGTGTCAGTAATTGCTTGACCGTGTGTAATCCTCCACAATTGTGTTCATTAGAAATTTGAACATAAAGATGCATCCTGTGATAAGTATTGTAAGAATTGTCCATAAATACAGGCAGAAATATTGTCTTAAATTTAAACAGAAACTGTTATTCTGAGAGTTGGTTCGTTACGAGTAGCAGAAAAACGTCGAGTTGAAGGATCGTATCTTGAGCTTGCATCTCGCAAAATTCCCACGACTCCTCTGGAGACCTTGTATCCTTACTTCTGCACTAATCAATATAAGCGACGATTAATTTGCCATGTATGTAAAACTGCTGAGCTACTGAAAATATTCGCAATTTGTTTGTTGCTTCTTCCAACCTCGAGAACGAGCTTATAGTAATTTTGCATACTACATGCACTCTGCTTTTTTCATGAAATATCTCAAGGTTGATATATGTAATAGGCGTGTAAGAATTCGTACTGTGCAAAATATTATGCACATGCTGCAGTACTCGTACCAGTCCTATTTGTTATATTTATTGCGTCGTTAAAGGTAAAAATTTATGTATGTACATTATTGAAATATTTACAATCAGGGATGATGATCATTGATGCTTTGCAAAATTTAGAGGTGATAAATATTTTGAACCTATAGTTAAGGTTGTTTAGGTGCACTGGTGGGTTTTGTGGGGGTGGTAGTGGTGCTGCTGGAGGGATTTGGTGGTGGCGTGGGCAAGGTGGTGGTAGTGATCTGTAAACATGATCCCGTTGAACATGATTCAGTGGAATTCGATTCTTCTTCTGACGGTAAAACTACTTCTGCAAGTGGCGATGTCGTCGAGGGTAAATCCGTGGTGGATGTGACATTCGTTAGGTTGGCTGAAAGTTTTTAAGGGAAAAATATTTTGTTATCTGTTGTGTAACTCATAATGGAGGTCTCCCAGCGTATGCTCACAGATTTTGAGCAAACTAGTGTCAATCGATGACAAATTTAATTAATATGAAATTTGAAAAAATACGATCTGCCAATAATGCTCCGTTTTGGCGGAGATATTTGCATGCAAGAGGAGAAAATCTCTAACCTAAATTTGAAAAGTGGAAAAATTTGTCAACTTCAGGGCACGCTTTCTCCTCTTTGTATGCGAATATCTCCGCCAAACCTCAGCATTGGTAGATAGTGTTTGCAAATTTCATATTAATTAAATTTGTGATTGATTGGCATAATTTTAATCAAAATCTAAGAGCATACGCTGGTCGACCCTATTATCACAAACAAATCTGTATTTATTATACGCATATAAACAAAGCAGAGTCTTACAAGTCTCAGATTTAGGTTCCACCACAAGTGCTTCACTTTTCCGTACTACTCGAGCTTTCGCAGAACCTGGCCCAAACGGTCCCGAGACAGGTTTGAAACCACCCTGTTCTCTCTTAATTAGGGTCCGGTTTCTAATTATGTTAATTTTTCTCCCAAAATCTTCCACTTTCTCGGGGTCCGGCTTATTCGGAATGTGCGTCGTTCTCGTCACAAAAGTCCTTCTCGTTATCGTCGTTGCCTGCGTGGTTGACGAGGAGGACGGACGGTCATCAGATTTCCACAAAGGAATGTGACTTCGGCTGGTGAGTGTACGACGGACGAACGAGGTTCGACTTTCACTCCCCTGCAACCGAGTTGTCGCAACTTCCTGTTTATTACTCGCTGCTCCCGATAATCCTCCAGCTTGCTTTTGCTGCTCTGACTTTTCCTTGATTCTCTCTATTACTGCACGCTTAAAAGAGTCTCTTTCACCGTCGTCCCTGGAATAAATGTCTCTGGGTTGTTGAGATTGGATCTTTTTTGATGCGGGATGGTCGTACGGGATGTACTTGAAGCCTTGCGCGTCGTATCTGGTTCGCTTAACAGTGGGTTTACCGTTTCCATCAAGTGACGTATCGGGTGATAAATCCGGATGGTTTGATTTAGAATCGGAATCGCCTTTCTTTCCTGATTTCGGTGATGGGCTGGTACCCTCTGGTTCAGGCTCGTTAATATTAATGCTGGGAAGTGGAATCTTTTGAAAATTTTCCTTGTACCATTTCTCCTTGTCCTCTTCCAGCTTGCGTTTGTTCTCGCTGTTATTATTATGCCCATTTCGGCCAGGTTTTGATTGACTCCACCCCTCATTTCCGGCAGACTGAGCTTTGTTATTATTGCTGGGAAACTTTGGGGGAAGATATGTTTTTGAAATTTTTGGTTCTTGAGTTGGTTTCTGGTGTAGAATTTTATGAATTTCTTCTGGTGATGGGGTCTCTGCAACGATGCGGTAATGGTTGGGGGCTCGGGGGAAGGAATCGTCTTCGACGGAGTTGTCAAACTTTGAGGAGTAAGGGCGTCGATCTCGAGACCATCCGGGGGGATATTCCGCCTTCTCGTAGGTCTCGATTGGAGGCAGGTATTTGGTCAGGTCGTCAATGCCAGCTTTGTATTCGAAAGGACCTGGTTGCCTGGGATTGTCGCGGGGTGAACTCCAGCCTGGTGTTGGGGGTGGGTGTGGTCTGATGGGAGGATTTCTGTCCCAGCTTGACCAGCCTTTAGATCCTCCACCGCCTCCTGTCTGCTCATCGTCTCGACTAGGCCAAGCCGTTGGACGAGGTCGGGACGACTCCCATCCTCGATTGGGTGGACGCTCATTTTCTCCCCACGGAGACGGGGTAGACGGGCCCCAACCATTTCTATTATTATCACCACCGCGGTCGTCGTTAGAATTGGAGGGCCATTTTGGAGGATCTCTCAAAGGAGGGTCACGGTTCGGTGGTAAATAGTGTGATCCGGGGCCATCAAGTGGGGGTGGTGGTGGCCTATTGTTGTTGCTGCTGTCCCATCCATCCTGATTATTTTTACTCGGCCAAACTGGCTTATTACCAGCAGTCTCAGAGCCAGAGTGTGACCAGCCACTGCCACCACCAGTTATCGAAGGTGGATATCGAATTGGTTTGTATTTGTCTTCATCACTTGCTAAATACTTTGGAGTATACCTTGGTTTTTCCGTCGTTGGGGGACCCCACCCATGATTATCTCCACCACCTCCATCATTACCAGACTCGATCTGCCACGGTCTAAAAGCGTCCTTACTGTCTACCGGACTATAAGACCCCTTTCCATATGAGGGACGGGAAGGATAGTCGTCATCCTCAGAATTACCACCTTTCCAACCCCACCCATCTCGTGGAGGGAGTGGTGTCGTCGTTTTCCAACCCCACCCGCCAGGAGCGGACGTTGGTGGCGGAGGTCTCGGCAGTGGTTGTGTCCATGTCGAACCCTTCGATGACCAACCACCACCACCACCACCTCGTCCCCCTTCGTCATCATTTCTATCCCGATCATCCGGTCGTGACCCTGGCCTTGGCCAGCCCCAACCCGTGTCACCACCATCACGACGATCATCACTCTCAATGAAGCGGTGTTCCGGTCTGTTTCCGATGTTGTGATCACCTCCAGCATCATCATCATACCCGCCTCGCTCCCTGAAGCTGTCTCGTCCTGCATCCCGACCTCTCTCCTTCTCTGATCTCCTCATCATTTCCGCAATTGCAGAGAGCGACGGGATTTCAAAGGGATCTTTGGACGAGTAGGGATGACTCGATCCCGAGGGAGATGCTGCTCCTCTGTCTCTTTCTCTATTTTTGACATCTTCCTCCTCACTAAAAGTGTAATACCTGAGTTTATCCACTGGCTCGATGCCCGCTGCAGCTAAAACTTTCACGGGAGAATGCGGAGGTGCAAGCAGAGTCCCACCATGCACGCCACTAAAAAGTATCACAATGAAAACTACTGCTCCTGCTTCGGGGAACATGTTGCATTTAATAGTGCTGCCACCGAGGAAGTTTATCTTATCAACGAACTTTGATCAAATTGTATTTCTCACAATCACATCTTTGCTTTAACTGCACAGACACGGAAAACTTTTTTTTTATTTCGAGTAGTACTCGCAACAAAAGGAGTATAGAATCAGTCGTCCAAGGAAATGGATCAGGAGAAGATTCATGCTCCGATCCTTACTTTATCCCAGGAGCGAATAAGGCTTATCCATAAATACGGTACGTGCCCCTTGAGAGCCTAAGATGCAAATGAAGATGCTCCATTTCCCTTCCAGGCCTCTTATCGCAGAAACATGTTAAGCAGAATTACGCTTAAAGCGAGCCACTGTATTACTTATTATGCATATACATACGTCATTTCGCTGAAATATATTAATGGCCACCACCCACCCATCATCCCTTTATTTATCCCAGTCTAGCGTAGAATATTGCGAACAATTGACAATGCGAAGTACACATACCTACCACGTCAAGAATAAATGTTGGATAAGTCGAATGCATTGTTTCTTTGTGTGTGTGGGTAAGATACATATTCAGATAAATACATACGTAATAGTCTAGTCTGATGTGTAGGAAATTGAAAAATAAATTGAAGGTGTACATATCATCCTCCATCCTCCCTCAGTCAGTATTAGTCATTTTAGCCTCAAAAAGCATTTTTATGCAATACAATAACAATACCTGGCCGAGTGCATCTCATGGTTAATTGGAAAATTGGAATTAAATGCCTTGAGCCCATGCGTGGGAACGTGGCAGCAGCAGCAGCAGCAAAGCAACGATAAATGACAATGAAAAAGGTTTACGGACATTAAAATCCCATCAAAGTTTGTAAATGAAGAGTATCCGGAGCTCAAGGTTGCAACACTTTTTGTGCTGCTCTTCTAGTCCAATCATCGTCTATATTATTGCGATGAGTTAATAATAGTAAATTAATTGGGCGAGCTAATAAAACAACCATAAATAGTCTTTTTTCTTCGCAAAACAGAGATTATACAGTTGAATTTTGTATTTTTACACGGGTGGATGTGATTTGCGACACTAATGTGCGGTCATATTTTTCTTCGAGTAGTAAATAAATGTCAATTTTTTTATATGAAGTCTGGTTCGACATGGAGAATTAAGATTGTATAAAATTTACATCTAGTCGTTATTATTATTGGGGTTAAAATTATAACATTTATGACACTGTCTTGTGAAAGATCATAAGTTATCAGCAAATTACGTGGAGACATGTGAATGTTAGATTGAGCAAGAGATACCCCAATGCCATGAGACTACTCGTCTTGTTACAGTTTATTAATCGTTTGTGACACAACAAGTGAGTGAGTGTGGAATTCCTTCTTGCTGAATTAGTGTAACTAGTGTAATTGGATGACTTTGACCGATAAGGTCTCGGGAAATTCACGCAGAGATATCATACGAACCTGACCTTCGAGCAACGGTAGAAAACGTTCGCTTATAATTCTAGTCACTAAAAATAATAACTCTATTATTATTATCCGTGAACAAATCAGTACAATTGGTGGATGTATGTTGTAGGTAAATATTCGCATGTAAATAAATTAATTGGAAATTTCATAGGCAGAATTTGCTCCATGTCATGCTTTTATTATCTATACGTCATTTAATATGACACGTGGACAAACAAAAATATTTGTAAAACTGAAAAGTAATAAAATTGGGTCAAGAATTTAAAATGTGCAGTGCAGAGTGCAAAATAACTTTAGAGTTACATTACTTATCCTATTTTTGGACGGGGATAAGATAGGAAGACAAGGTTGTACTGCCCACTTTAGGTAATTGAGGATTGGTCTTTGGCAGAGGGGGGACTGCTCCGACCTCTTCTAATAACGACCTCCTTTCTCAATATCACTGCTGCCCCAGGAAGACCCAGACGATGACCCATATCCACCACCACTACCTGAAACCCCCATCATAGCATTTTGCATCATCATGTTGGAATAGGATTCTGGCCAAGCTGTTGGTGAATAGTACTTGGGGTCCATCTTATTGACCACCTCATTTTCATCCTTACCTTGTTGGCTCCATCCGCCTCCGCCTTGTTGAGGGGGTGGTGGTGGTGCATTTTGGTTTGAGCCCCATCCATTATTGTTGTAGGGTGGTGGTGTAGGTCGTGGATTGCTGGATCCTCCCCCTGAACCCCATCCACTGTTCCCGTTATTGTACGGTGGCTGCGTCGGCCTCGGGTTACTCGATCCTCCTCCTGATCCCCACCCATTGTTGGCCTTGTAGGGTGGTGGCGTCGGTCTTGAGTTAGAATTCCAGCCGGGAGCGGGCTGTTCAGGGGGATATCGCCCATTGCTTCCGCTTCCGCCTCCGCCTCCCCCGGATGATGAACCCCAACCATTGTTGTTGTATGGGGGACTAGTTGGTGCTGGTTGACCCCACCCTCCGCCACCCCCATTGTCGACTCGGTTCGGTTTTGGAGGTGGAAACCGTGGTTCCGATGTGCGCCAACGATCACCACCTCCTCCGGGTGATGGGGGTGGTTGTCGTTGATTTGATCCCCATCCAGCGTCCTTGTAACCTCCACCACTTCCGTAGTCCTTGCTGGAATATCCTCCGCCACCACCACTGTAACCCCCGCCACTGCTGCCATATCCACTCCCACTGCTGCTACCGTATCCACCCCCACTGTAACTTCCGCCACTCCCACCGTAGCTCCCACCATTGCTGCCACCCCCATTACTCCAAGAAGAAGACCCTGGACAAAATTAGAACTCAAAAACCACTGCGATAGCTATATGTATGTACTGCATGGTTGCATGATCAAGTTACCAGAGCTGGCAGGATAACGGCCATACCCTCCTCCTGACGACCCTTGTTGACCACCTGACGATGAACCACTTCCCCAGCCTCCTCCCGATGACCCTTGCTGACCACCACCAGAGGATGACCCGCCACTACTTCCCCAGCCTCCTTGACCCCCCTTGTTCCCATTGCTTGGGTTCCGACTGGGGTCAAAGGAATAAAACCTGTTTATGGGTTCCTTCGGTTGAGACGGCTGTGCTGGCCATCCCCACCCACCGCCACCACCACCACCACCACCACCACCACCACCACCACCACTACTACTGCCCCCACTTGATGCAGGATACCCTCCTCCTCCTCCTCCTCCACCCGACGTGCCCACCTCTGAATACCCGCAAAATGCCACCCCTAACAAGTGGGCAATTAGCAAAATAGCGACTAATAAAGGTTTCATTTTGATATTTAAAATAATTTATTTATCTATCTATCCCGTGATACTGCTGGATCCCGATCCAAACTCGAACCCAAGGACTACTGACAACTGACGACGACGGAGTTCTGTCGTATTTAATATAACGTGGCGTGGACCATGCTTTTGTTTCCTTTGTTCGAACCAAAAGATGTTGGCAGCAAGCATTACATCATGGAAAATTGTTTTTGTGGAATTTCATCGTATTCAATCCTAGGAAAGGAGAAGAAGCTGTTGAACGATAAGGAATTGGCGTGGATAAGTTCCCACCGACGAGTAATTCGTTTCGCATACTCGTGCATAAAGTGCAGCAATACTTGGTTGGTGTGGATTTCCCTGTTACCCATTTTAAGTAGATTACTATCTTCTTCACTTTTCTGCTCAGGATTAATAGGACGGCTCGTTAGGCTGGACTATGGGGAGTGAGTATCATAGCATGAATCCAGTTTTAATAATATTGGCTTTGGTATTAATTATTTAATTGCACACTCCAGGAATTTCATTGAAAATGCTCGTTTGGACGAGTTCCAGGCAGAATTAGCGAGTCTCAGGTCAGATTTACAGTACAAACAAATACGATATACGGTCTGTTGCACGTAGATACATATTTCATTTCTTGGTGGTCATGCTGGTTGGCTTCGTGCGTTGTTTCGTGTAAAGTGAAGTTAAATTTTACAACAATAGAGTATCGGTTCATCAACATTTATCACCCAGTCAGTCACACACGACCATCGTCACTGCCTGGTTCGCAGAAGTGGTATTTATTTATTTGTAGACCTTTATTTTCTCAGAAGTAAATGGGTAGCTACATAAATCTGGTTTACTGGACTATGAGGAAAACGGGCCACGTTGACTATTTAATTGAATTTGTTCAAAAGGGTCGTTTTTTAAATAAACGTGAAATACAAAAAAAGGCAAATGTGACATTGAAATCAGGAACAAATGGGCAGGATAAAAATAAAATATAACCTTTTAAACCTACCTGTGTAAATATGCCACTTAAAATAACTCAATTTTTATGCGACTCTGATTTTTACATATTTACAGACGCTACAATTGTAAAAAAAACTAGCAAAAACCCATCTTCCTTCAACAACAAAAGAGTCATGCTGTTTACCATTCTTGAATTAAGCGTACTACGCATAATGCCAATTGTCGATTTGATACAAGACGACTGATAACAAAACATCCCCATCTACAATCAGACTTTTAACTTACAGCACAACGTTTAAGACTAATTGTAAATGAAAACGGGAGAAGCACGCAATTATTTAGTTTGGGAAATTATATAGTAATACAACACAACCATGCTAAATTCAAATTAGGTGCAGGCAGTAAATGCATAAAAAATCAAATTTGTGTAAAAAATAAATAGGTATATTTCCTGCAAACTCTTTGTTCTGGTTTTGTTAATTACGTTATAATCATACACAATAAATACATACATATGCACAGCGCAACTGCATACGTACGTATGCAAATGTTGATGAGATTTATACCCAAAAAAATGGAAGCATTCCACCGTGAAATTGTTCTGTTGTCCATGTCTTCAATAATGAAATGAACATCAACCTTTAGATGATATCTTGGATGGCAACAAAATGACTCTTATATAACAGAAGCACAAGTCAAATCAAGCACGATTAAACTACGATAAAGACGTTTCATAGTTCAAAACCACCACGAATTCGAAGAAATGTCAAAACCTAAATAGCAAAAACTACACATATTTTCATTATTTCTTTCTGGACAACCCAGGATTTTGACTCCGACGCGAAACAATGACTCAACAACTAGTTTTAAATCCTGAAAACACTTAGAAAACAAAAAACAGAGTATTATGTACATATTTATTTGGTTCTCACCGGATTCTGCATAAGCAAACATCCACCTGTAGCTTTTAACAGTGACCAAACCAGTTTTTGATCCAAATTTAATTGAAAGAATAAACACTTTTAGTATTGTTACGACATACCTTCGCTCACTTCTTCAGCTCCATGAAATGGATCACGACCACAATTTTTAACGCCACAGACATCCGGACAGCACGTTAGAACACTTTGCTTAGCATTCTTCTCCACATTTGCGGAGCCTATTTAAATCATATTTAAACAACTCATTCGAGACGAAAAACAAGACATTTTTACAGAAGATTCTGTTTCTATTTGTTTCTCCGAGTTTATACCTATTTTCCCTGTCCTGCCGTATTTTCTCTCTCCTCTTCTGCTCGAGATACTTGATCCCTCTTCAAACATTATCCCCCATCATTTCCAATTTACGATGGAATCACGTCATCACGTCACCCTTGTTTTGTTCCTCACCCTCGCAACCGTCTACCTTTTGGGTAAGGTGTTAACATCCCACGTGCATAATCCATCTCATCACTTACGTACATTTCTTGTTCAAATAGCAACCTCCGTGTCTGCCGGACCTCGTGGGGTAGGGTGCGCATGCAGCTTGAAATTGGACTCTGCAACGCCCGGCTGCATCATCGGAATCCCTCCAGCTTTCTCTGGTTTCAAGTGCCGATGTCGAATGGGGATGCTCTTCTTCCTCTTCCCCCACTGCGTCGGAACCCGAATTCCTTGCGGATCGGGGGAAAATTGCCAGGCAGGGTGTGCCTCGAAAGAGTGCTGTCTCATGGCTGGGGGCGACTGTAATGGATACGATGCATAATTTATTACCAAAATTTCAGTCGTTGCCTACGTTTATACCGAGTTGAATAAACTTTACGAGTTTCATTAGTACAATTATATTGCCAAACTGTGTAATATTATTTGTCATATGTACATGCATCATACTAAATGCCATGCCACATCATCCCATGGCCATGAAGTCCTATCAGTTTTATGAAACTGGTAATCAAATCACTCATGAAACTTTCGGATTCCACGAAATGTAATGTAATTCATGTGATTATCTTAATACCTACACCGCAGTTGGGACCATTATATAAAGTTTATAATCGATAAAGTAAACTTGACACCGAACAAACAAAACGGGAACGCATGTTTCAATTCATTCTAAAATATTATATGTACCTAACATGCCCAGCTCAATTCGGTCGACAACGAACATGAATAACCTATTGAAAACCCATAAAACTGGATGGATGGATTGTATTTTTTACACAACTGTCATCACCATCACCATCATCATCAAACCGTCGTCGTGCATGCTAAATCAATACTTTGTAATGGTACTCTACTCGCTAAATAAAACTGTTTCAACAAGTGAAATCTACATACTTATCTGAGGAGAGCGTTTAGTTTACATACATTCATTTCATTATACTCGGTCGGTGGTTAGTTAGTGGTGGTTGGTGAATGGTATTTATTTGTACTGTGAATGTTTTAAGTGGAAAAAAGGACGAATCATCACATCACATCACAGCAAAACCAGTCGAATAATGGTCGTTATTTAGTTTAGTAGTCGACTACTTAAATATTTCGTGGTACTTGAACGATATAAATAAATTGGGTTTCTTGCGAACTGCAGCGAAGAAAGAAAGAAGAAGGGAAATATGAGCAAGAATGGTTTTGCTTCAGTCAGCACTGGCAGCATGTACGTAAAGTGTATAATAAAATCAACAAGGGCAACCAAACAGTAGCACAGGCAGAATAAGAATCGACGAACTAAAAAACACCAACAGTTGTGAAATGAAATGTGCAAGTGGACGAGTTACTAATATTTTGTCTTTGGGTCGTTTTCGTTTCATTTGACTGGAGGAATCGTTATCAGGAGGATCAGCATCAGGGTCCAAGTTAATTGTGTAAGGAAAAACAGCAATTTATAATTTATTACACTGTAAAATTAGTGCACACATTTTAGGGACAGTTGATTGGTAATATAATGTTACGGAGTGGTAAATGATGCTAGTTTGCTTGTTTAAACTGATATCATTTTTAAATACCTTTTCCTCATTTGTCCATACGGTTGACGGTGGTATATTGTTGGGTGTTGTAAGGTTTTCTAGTGGCTTATAATAATGACTTTTAAAATTTACAGGATTTAATACTACACGAGCTCAAGAGACTGACGGATGGAATTCTGGATTAGAAGATTGAAGGATTCTTGTCTAATTAAATAGAATTGTAAGGTTTAGTTTAAATTTGATGCAGATTTATAAAGTGAAGGTTTAATTTGTTTAATATAAATTGATTAATAGAATTTGATTGGGTGTTGCAGAAGTTGTTAAAGAGGAAGATATACGAACTTGCAATGGAAGAAGTCGACGTCCAACCGGAAAGTACCGTGGGTGGAGATGAGGGCGCAAACTGTCAAGTGGAAGAGGACGACGACATCATCTTTGACAGAATTGTAATTCACAGCGGCATGCATCTTCCACGTTCTACTTTCAAAGCACTCAATTTCGAACCACGAACTGGAGGACCTACTTTTGAGAGACCAGATCAACTTTATAGGAGGAAAATGACACCTCGTAGAAGAGCGAGAGAACGTACAAATAAGTCGTTAGAGGCGTCGTCGGGGTTGGTTACACATTTTCGTTCGGTATGCACTGGTCCTCACAACGACGAGGAAGACGAGGTCACCTTTCTACCTCCAACGGCCACAAGTTACACCCAGACCTTCGACTTTCCAGTATACCAGGAACACCCTCCAGCCGTACTGGATGAACAAAACGACAGCCATTCATTCAACTCACAACCTACTACTAGTCCTGATTATTCAAGTCTTAGTACCAATTCAAATCAAAGTGATGTCATCACTGAAGAGCTTACCAAGTCAATGGGGGACCAGTCATTCTGCGATTTAGACTCTACCCCACAACCACAGAATGAACGTGACGAGCCAGCCATTAATATTGGGGAAGATGCTATTACTACTACTCCTGATACGTTGCAGGAGGATGAGCAAGGCCATGACTTTGCTGGGTCGAAAGGTGCCAAAAATTATGACACACAATCCTCAACTGATGGAGTTCTCAACTCTGGGGAGCATTCTTCGGTCATTCAGAATAATTGTCCTGAACCAATGAGTGCATCATTCGAAGACGACGGAGCATCCTCGTTTAACTTCCTTGGGCTCAACACAACTCAACCTGCAGATAAGTCTTTGGAGTCAGAGTCAACTGATTTCGGAAGTTTAAGCGATTTGCTAAGTGGCTTACCTGCTGGCGATTCGAATGATTTGTGTTCAGTGAGTGATCTTCTGCAAATGGCCGAGTCAAACTGGAGTTTTCTTCCTGGAGGCCTGGACGATATTGTTACAATGTGCTCAAATTCCAAAGAAGAAGACGACCTTAACGTGGTGTTCCCACAACAAAGTCATGAACCACTGTCGGATCCTGTCGACCCTGTCCCACAAACAGAAACAAACAAATCTTCGCCGGAAACCCCACCTCAACCCAGTAAAATTAAGGAAACGATGAATTACACAGACGATGACGTGGAAATAACTGTCACACCAATAACTATCAGATTTTACCGATGCTGCATTTGTTGGGAACGCGATTTCTCTTCAGAGACGCAACTAATGGAGCACATATTCGATGATCACAAAATATCTAAACAACTAAAATGTGAGGTTGTATCATGCACGTAAGTACACAATATTTATATATAAGATGATGTTGAATCTATATTAAAATCATTCGTATTGAATTAATTAATATTGAAGTTTAGTTATGCATGTATTACGTTCGTTTAATTCTGTCGCAATTGCAGTGAAGACGAAATTGACACCGAACAGAAAGATGTGGATCGCTACGAGAAAGAAACAGGAAGGAAGGTGCCTGGACGCGTATATCTGAAAAAATTAAAGAGTGCGGCATCAGAATGGCAAGATTTGTCTGACTCGGACAACTCAGCCGAGGAATCAGTGGATATTACCAAGAGTAGCAGCAGCAGCAGCAGTTCCTCAGACGATGACGACCGCGACCCGGATTATGTCGAAGGGGAAAGAAGGAGGAGAAGATGTCCAAGGAAAAAGTCCAGTACTCGGCCGAAAAGCCAAAGCAAACCTAAATCCGTCCCAACTTCGGATAAGCGTTCTGCCAAACGTGAACCCGTAGGTAGGCGTCTAAGGCAGCGTCCTTCAAGAGTAACTAAATAGTTTTTTAGCAAATCGCAAGGTTTGCCTGTCATTAATTTGTAATATAAATATGTACAAGTCAATTTAGCCAGATACGTTTATCTCTCGCCACCACACACAGATACGAACGATTTACAAAGTATCAAAACGTCATTTTTACCCTGAGTAAATAACAAAAATTGGAACCTCGTTATAATAAATACATAAATACGTACAACCAACCGACTATATAAATACCTATAAAAGATACGTAATAATATGTTTATCAATACTCTATGTTGTATGTCTGACTATGTATAAAAAGTATTTATGTAATTAATTATTTTTGAAAATGACCCCCTTGTTTAAGTATTCGAACAACTGGTTATGATGGGTAACAGTACAATCTACAACAATAAGGATTTATTTTATAATTGTAAATTAATTTGACTTTTCTAATGACTGCATAGATGTTTCTTTAAACAGAGAAACATTTTCAATCATAATCGTAACTTGCTTGATGTGAAGGTGTCTAATGTGATCGTTGTGATCTCGATGTATAAATATTACAAACATGGATTTTACAATAAATCGTTATATTTTATTTGATCAGTGCTTTATTAAGATTTAAAAATCTTGTCACAAATTAAAACGGTAGAAATTCTCATGCATTCATTTTTTACTTCGCATGTACATATTTTCATTTCTTTGTACGTAGGTGCATTCGAGGTTGGGATTCACATATTAATTATAAAATGCATACTGTTAACATTGTCCATTCACAACTAAATACTTATGTCCAGCCAGACATCACTCCCGAATTTAGGTATGCACATATGTACAAGTGCGCAACTGAACCCAAATTCTTAACGAACCGATATGTATTCGAACAACAGAGACATACATAAGCATACCACTTTTTTTATTATACATTGTTCATTAATTTCATGGTGAGTGTACCAATAACAATAATATCGCTGTTCATTGGTTATGCTCGAGTAATAATAAATTGTCATCCATTAAGTAAGTCAAACCTTGCTCGCCTTGAGGTTATGTACATTCGTTTGGTGTGGTAGCGAGTAAAAACTTGAAATAGAAATTCTACCCAAAGGAATACCAACAAAAAGTAACAAGACTTGTACCCAAGTAAATGCATAGATACATATATTCCACTTTGATGCATATGTACAATAATTATATGCATGTGCATATTCTGATTCTGCTGCCTAAGCATATATGCCCATGTACCTGCCACCTCATGAACTTCAAGTCGACATCAAGGCATGACATTCATCGTATTTTACTGCATATGTACATATCTACGTGCTCCAGGGTTAGGTTCTCATGAGAATGTCCACCCTTTTAAGTTCTTGGGAATGTTTGAAGACAAAATTATAGAGCTTCGCACTACTGCTGGCGACCCAACAACAATGTGTGCTTTATGTACATATAGGCATACGTAAATGTGTATGTATGTATATTTGTTATTTGTAGGACATAAATACATGCCAATATAAATGTACTGATTTTGCAGAAAGAATCACGGTTCGTGCTGGTAATGGAGGAAGAGGGTTCGCATGCTAAGACCGTCGCAAGCAATGTTTGCGATTTAGTTAGTGGCCTGATTCACACTTTATAAACATGATGACCATATAATTTTAAGTGATGAGAATTCTATGTGTATGCATTCTTATAGAGCAGCTTTTCAGATTTGCTAGATGTTACATACATAAATACGTCCTGCTAATAATTGCATAACTATGATCGGACACTCCGCAAGAGTTGGTACCCACAGATAGATTTATTATTCATGTAACGTTCCTGAACAACACTCGTTCTTGCCAAGAGTGAAAACAGTTCGTTTTTTTTTCTGGACAATTTTCTCATTTGCATTCCAGTCTTTTTTGGTGCGACGGTCTTAACTGACTCCTTGGATTATATTCTTATTTGATTTGCATACATTTTTCAGAATTAGGAAATATGTCGATCGACGCATCTTTTGAAAAGGTTATTATCAAATTTTTATTTTTATTGGGGTTAAACTGCTGGATTGGATTTAATTCGGTTTCACACATAGGTCATCACGGTGGCTAGAAATGCATTCAATTCAGGAAAAACTCGTCCCCTTTCCTTTCGATTGGCGCAGTTGAGGAAATTCGTGAAAATGATGGAGGAAAGCAGAACGGAAATTCAACATGCGATCAACTTGGATCTGAGGAAGCATAAATTGGAAGGTGTCAATAAGCACACTTTTTACAAGAATTATTTCATATGGGAATTACATGTGCGAATTTTATTGTCTTTCAGTCACTCTGTACGAGATTGAGGGCATTATCCACGAGGCCAAAGTGTTTATTGATAACCTCAAGTCTTACGCGAGTCCAGATGTCCTCCCGTTTAATTTGCTGGCTGCCCTGGACAAAGGAATGATTGAGAAAGTTCCGTTCGGCGTTGTCCTGATTTTGGGTAACCAACCGTACACGCATAAAGAGAAACTTGTTAAACATTTTGTGTTTCATTCAGGGGCATGGAATTACCCGTTCTTACTTTCACTGCAGCCAATGATTGGTACATTTACTATTTATTTATTTAACACCAAGTATTCAGTGCTATGCATAAGACGAGTAATTTTTTAAATAGGGGCATTGGCTGCTGGAAACAGGTTATTACAAAAATAAAATAAATCACGAAACGTTATGTTTACTTTTAAAATATATTCATGGACTTAATGCATGAATCTGAACAGCGTGGTCTTGAAGCCTTCTGAAGTTGCGCCACACACGGCACAACTGATGGCAGAAATGATAACTAAATATTTGGATCCGGTAACAGCTTCTGGATTTTCATAAAATCATTGTTCCGTGTTATCACCATCAGTTTATCAATAATTTTCAGGAATGTTATCACGTTATCCAAGCAAACCCTGAGGAAACGCAGCACTTGCTTAAATACAAATTTGACTATATTTTCTACACGGGTTCGTCAAACGTTGGAAAGTTGGTGATGCAAGCGGCAAGCCAGCATCTTTGTCCAGTAACTCTAGAATTGGGGGGGAAATCGTAAGACTAATTTCACTTTAATTGTCGCATTAACTTAATCATTAATTAACTTCTCCCATATTACCCACAGACCTGCCTACATTGACGACAATTCGGATTATGAAATAGCCTGCAAACGAGTTCTGTGGGGCCGTTATGCGAACGCTGGGCAGACTTGTATTGCCCCTGATTATCTACTTTGTTCGAAAAAAGTCGAGACAGAATTTGTCAAGTGTGCCCAAACCATTGTCAAGGAATGGTACGAAGGAGATGCCCAAAAATCACAAAGTTTTACCAGAATCATCAGTGAAAGACATTGTTTGCGATTGAAAAACTTGTTGGACACGACTCGAGGGAAAATTGTACTCGGGGGCAGAGTCGATGTTCAGGATTTGTTTGTGGAACCAACCATCGTGGGTAAGATTAATACGATATTCCAAGTAAATTGCGAATGGATATGTGATCAACACCAATATTTTGGTATTTAATTTAACAGTTGACGTGGCCCTTGACGATCCTTTGATGATGGAAGAGATTTTCGGACCGATCCTCCCAATCGTTTCTGTAAATTCAATTCATGAAGCGATTGATATTGTAAATTCTCGGTGAGCTGCCCAAACCTATGAAAAAACTGTGATAAGTAATAAGTTATTTTATGCTGTAACATTTAGACCGAGACCATTGGCTTTGTATTCCTTCGCCAAGAATTCAAAAGTAAACAATGACTTTAAGGACAAGACGATTAGTGGAGGTGTCTGCATTGGGGATACAATGTGGCACTGCGTTTGTAAGTTGTACATAAATTTATAATTGCAATTATGGTTATATTCTGGGAGATAAGTGCATATCCATGTATGAAATCATAAATGAACTTTTTCCTGCAGGGAACGGGCTTCCTTTTGGTGGAGTTGGTATGTTTATCATTAGTTTATTACATAGTTTTGGACCCCAATCTGACAGGATTTCTTGATGAAGGTAACTCTGGCATGGGAAGGTATCAAGGAAAGAGTTCATTCGACACGTTCTCGCATCATCGATCCGTTCTGGACAGGAGCATGAGTCCACTTAGCGAGAAATTGGGAGAAGCTCGGTAACTACAAATATTTGTACAATTGACTATGTTCTATCGTAATTTTAATCGATTATGCCAATGTGAACACGTATTTATGTAGATATCCACCATACAATGACACCAAGATCAACATGTTCACCTTCATCATTCGCCACTTCTTAAAGTTCGATGTTACTGCTGGGCCCATTTTTACGCACATTTTGGCATTCCTTATTGGTGCTGGTATCATCGCACTTATTGCGTGGGCCTAAAAAAGCTTACGCAAAACAACCTATTTTTTCTTATGACAGTATTTTGTCAAGTTCTTGACAAACGTTTACATGATTTTTGACCATGATGACTTTTACTTCTTTCTGTTTTATGTTAAGATTCATTTTATTGTAAAAAATAGGCTACAAATTTTATGTTTCTTTAAAGTTATAACTTGCTTTTTGTATAAAACTCTTTCATTTATTCGCACAAAACAAAAAATAATAGTTATACAACACAAAATCACACTATACAAATTACAAATGTTTTAAAAATTTGTGAATAAAATAGTTTACAATGAGAACAAATCAGAGTATTCAACTCGTTCGTGCAAGCCATGCACATGTTTATCTTGGCAGAATTGCATATCATTTGTGGAGAGATAAATTTCACGAAATCATGTAAAATTAAAACGCAAATGGGTAGAGTTTAAAAGGCTTGGCCATCTCCGGTGGGGTCTAAATGAGTTAGAATTATATTAAATTTTGTACTTTACTATTGGGGAGCTTAATTTTTATTATTAAATCGTGCTCACCCAAGATCCACGGATAATGTCGTGGACATTCGAGACATGTAAAGAGCTAAAATTAAATTTATTAAAATTTTTAGTAAGTAAATTTAAATTTAGTTAAAATTAAAACTGGGCACTGAGAGGAAAATTATATGTAATTAAATTGTTAATAACTTAAATAAATAGCTTACTCGCAAAGTCTCTCCTGGAAGTTCCCGAGTGGTCAAGGGGCAGGTGTTTGGCAGCTGGAAAATTATTAATTTGTTAGTTTTCCAGCACGTCGCTTTAAATTTAATGTCAATTTATAATTTTTACATACCGAGCAATACGGTTGTCCCTGTTTTGAGAAGAAAATAGTCAGAATATTATGTAACTCGTGAGGCGAAATGGGATTAAATTTACATATTTAATCCAACTTACCTTGACATCACACTTTTCCTTCCACTCTTGGAAATCTCGGAGGGCAGTCAGTTCAGTGGGGTTTTGCTGGAATTAAATAATTGAACCAATACAAATTTTCCTGTCGATTTGGTTAATTATCAATATCAAAGTAGACTTAAATTGCTTACCATCCATTGGACAACTTGAAGCATCGTGACGAAATAAACGTCATTCCTGGCTAGCATTTCATCAATGAATTTGCCCAACCTGTGATCATTAATTTAAATATTTGAAACTTGACTTTATTGTTTTTAAGTAACTTATGTAAATGTCAATTAATTTTACTTACTCTTCTCTGAATTCACGCTTAGACTTGAGCCACGAAGCATGGAAGTGAAGACCCAATGGGGCACGGTTGGTGGAGAAATGTCGGTTGAAGTTGTGTCGCAAAAGTCTGTCATTGCAAATTAAAATTCATTTGTAAAATTTGTTATTAATTAATACACGCCGTCTAAAATTGACATACCGGCCGAATTGATCACCAGTTTGAATGTTGCTGCAATGGTAAATATAGCGTCCGTGTTAAGTCACATGTAAATTACTATTAAAGTAAGACTACTCTAAGAAGCCTAAATATACCGACCTGCAAGACGAAACCATGTGACAACCGGGAAGAGACTCGTCGAAAGTGGGGTCATCACGACGATCCAACTCATTCATGACCATTTCCCAAACGGGATGAGACCTGGATGGACAATTTTGTGCATTTCCGTGACATTTATGCGGCATTCTGAAGTAGAGAGTGTATGGCCAGATGGGAACTCGGCTCAAGGGGGCAGTGATGGACGCGTCGTAGACAAAGAACTGAGAAAAGTGAGAAGTGAAAGTTAATTATAATTAAATAAATACATACGTATGCAAATAAGCAGGCAAATTGTACCTGATCAGCCATCATTTCGAATTGCTTATTTCCTCCAACTCGCAGGTAGGGAGCACGACACCCAATAATGGATCCATCAGTAATATTAGCAAATCTGGTTTAAAGCAGAAAACTATGAAATCCCATCTCCCAAAGAAACTTCAAATGATTTACATACCGTTCGATGATAAGCCTGTTTCCAGCCATTTCAGCTAACCAGTCATCGTAGCTTCCATCCGTCCAATATTTTGGGTCATCCTTGTTGGTCACAGAAAAGCTGGCGATTTCGTGACCTTGTCGATGCAACTCCTAAAAAGATTGTGTCAACATTTAATTTCGAATCAATTTTTGACAGGCTCTACTTAATGAGAGAGCTGAAGGATTTTATTATGTAGTATGTACCTGCACAGCCGAATAGTTTGTGTATTTGTGAGACGCAAAGAAAGTTCCCTTAATTTGACAACCATTTGGATTTTGACGAGCACCATTGAAAATGTCAGCGTACAAATCCTACACAAAATTATATCGGATAATGAATACATACAATAAGATAACCTTTCACATACAACAAACTTTGTATATAACGCCAATCAACTTACCACATTGTCCACGTTTATGGCTCCGTTGAAAGTGATCTGGTAAAGTGGTCAATGATACATTTTATACCATGTTGTCATTTAAATCGAATGGAACCTTAATTGTACTAAATTTCTTACCGTAATCATCTGAGGAACCTGTAATACATAAATAAACGCATAAATGAATATTCAAACTTTTGCAACAATGAAGGTCTTATCCTAATCCTAAATTAGAAGAGCGCAAGGTAATTGAGTAGTAAGTACTTAAATAACAAAAGAAACCTCATTTGACGACAACGGCGTCCATTATGTATTCTTCTAAACGTTAATTGCACCGTCATAACCTCGCACCATAAGAAAGAAGGATAGCCAATCCATAGTACGAGTAATTTAAAAAGTCTACTGAATACAAATGCATGCAGTAAATAAATAGAATGTGAGTATAAATATTAAAAAAAGAAACTGCACTAGCCGACGCCAAGGAGCATTCGTTCAAAAGTCAAACTTTCACTGTCACCTATTCAACCCCATCGTCAATGGCGAGTGGAAGGATTTTTAATCACACATGAATCTCTCACACTCAACTCGACAAATTGTATGAAAGTGGATCGGTTACACTCAATTTCGGAATTATGTATGTAAGAATTAATGAAATTACAGAATTTGGTTCCAGAGCTCCAGGAATTCTGGTACCGTCAGCAGAGCAGAAACAGTCGGGAAGTACGCATTGGTTCGTATCGCACTCCGGGGATCTGTTGGGATCAGTTTCGACGCCTGAAAACATGACACAAATTAAAAACAGCGTTACATCCGGTTTTTCTATAATCTAAATGTATTTAACATGTTTTATATCTGCACTTACTGCACGCATTCTCATCAGAACCATCAGCGCAATCGGTCTTGTCATCGCAAAACAAAGCCTTTTCAATACATTCTCCATTTCCACATTGCAATTTACCGTCGGGGCAGACGGGCTCATCAGTCACCAAATTTGGGAGGATTTTACGTGGTTCTGCAATTTAAAGGTGGTTTAAAAAGTTTCTGAAAGGGCTCATTTACGCATAACGCAACGCGCAGTTAACAGGAAATGACATTGAATTTTTTAGTGTATCTATTGAATTTTTTGCATGTCATTCCATCTCATACAATAATTACTTGTCTAATTTTACAATAGCACATTACTCAACAAGTTAGCCATTGTTATTTATTAGGAAATGAACCTCTACCCTGTCTGAGCTTGAGTTTATAATTATGACAAAGATGATTGATCTTGGAGGATGTCTTAAACTAAGCAACTTACTTTCCAACTTGTCGCAATTGCTGACGCGTCCTTTCCAGTCGCACGTTTGCTTGAAGATATCGAACGCCAAGCCATTCGGGCATTTCACCCCGGCCAGACGAATCGTCCCCGTCAATCCGGCCTTATCGCAGCGCACAACGTCACGACAATCGCCGACCGTGGTTAAGCGAAAATACTCATTTTCCGGCCTGTCCTTGCACAGCTTTTCGATCTGATTCGAGTTGGGGTGAAGGCCTCCGTTCGTCTCGTCATCCTGACCTGACACCACGGTGACCACGGTGAAACTTACGAGCAGACAAAGGCATAGGGGCAGTCTCAGACGGGCCATTTCGCCCTTATTCGTCCACCAACCAGTAGTGCTGACCTACAAGGGATAAGTATGTTGGTGGTAAGAAATAGCTTATCAGACTCAATTCAAATCATCGTTGTGGTCACCCTTCTTACTTTTGCAACCCCACAAGTCTCCGAATAGTCACGAAAACAAATGCACAACCAAACTCTTTAAATAGGGAAGTAGGAAATCAACACCGAAAGCGAACCAACTCGTCTGTCCACCCTCCTGACCAAGTGAACGACTGACTCTGACCACTTCAACTAATTATCTATGACCACTGCCAACTCCAATAATATGAAAGGAGCCAGATAATAATTCTAATTTAAACGATGCGTATTTTTCATGCAGGTAGACACCATCAAAAGTCAACAGTCAGTCTCAATATTCAATTATTCAATAGTCATCTCGTATCTACTAACATGCAAACGGTGGTCAGGTTGTGATGTCAAAGCTTCACATGCATACACACAATTCTCTAAGCTACGTCAAAAATTAGTATATTATTTTTTAGTTACATAAATATTTTCTTAGCGTTATGTTACATACATGAGATAAGCACAACAAGTCTCACTTTCACATCTCAAGTCAATGCATACAATGATGACGCTGACACTGCTGACAGATACGAGACTATCGGTCAATCGACCATGCCAAACCAATTTTATGCACTTCCTCCTCCTATTAAAAATTCCACCCTTCACTTCTTCTGACTTTTGACTTGACTCTGAGACTTTATACTTTATAACTTCTCATTGGTAGCTGGCTCACTCTTTGTTGCATGAATTGCTCAAATTCAAATACACACAAACAATGCGATATAAATAATATGAGATGAGATACGATATGCGCAAGAGATTGGTTTCTGATCATGAGATGAGATGAGATGCAATATGTAAATTTCTCAATTGAATTTCTAATTGCAAACTTAGTTTTTTCTGGTTCTGTGAAGGGTTGGTGGGATCAATCAAATCAAGTTATGTAAAAAAAAATATATGTTAAATTGAGAGAATGCACTTTTTTTAACTCACTTTTATCGGGATGTTCTCGCCGCAGAGAGAAGATGCACCTTGCAAGGTTTTTGTTAGTAGTTGATTATTTTGTTTTGTTAGTCCATGTGTGTGTGTGTGGGAATGCAACTTTTTACAATGATAACAACTCTAAATACTTAAATATGACAGGTTTCTCAAGGCAAAAATTCGAATTATTATGCAATCAGATATTCAAATCACTGGAGAACAGGTTTATTTTCTTCGGGACGATGAGGAATGCAGCTTTTTTTTTCGATATTTATGAGACGACTCGAATTTTTGTGGAGAAATTAATTTACTAAAAACTATGAGAATTTGAGACTCGATTGGCACTTTGTAAACTACTTCTCAGCCCCTCGAAGGAGAGAGAGAGGAGAGAAGATGATAAAGTGACGCTTCCGTGAAGAGGTGCCAAGGAAGAATGAACATCGAATGGTTTTAGCACGGGCATAATAAGGTTTTGAGCCTCCTATGAGATCCCACATAATTGGACTTCAATTCAATTCAGCCCTGTTGTGGGATTAAGTTTGAGGTACTACAAATTGAGGTAATACCCAAACGTCCGCCAGTTTCTTTTAATAATGTGTAATACGAACGACGAAGTAATATTTAGCAGGGCAAGGGTGGGCGGTGGCAGTGTTACTTTACTTCTGCAAATGAGTGCAAGTCACCAAAAAGGGTTGTTGTTACAATAGTTTAGTTCTGATTTCATGCATCGTTGTCTCTGTACCAATGGTCGTGAGGTTCAGCTAGATCTATGTACGTAGGTAAAAGATAATGGTCCCCAATAAAGCAGAATTACCCATAGTTGGGCTGATTTCAAAATTTGCTCTGATTACAACGGATGAACATAATTACAACTTTTGATTGGGAGTGAATTGTTTTGAGTCTAACTGGACAAACATTACACAATTTTTGACGTGATGAAAGTATAAATTGTAAAAGATTTAGAGATTATGAGCAATAGATTAGAATCTGCGTTAGTGCAGGTCGAATTGGTTTTCAAATTTCATCAAAAGTGTGATAGATGCATAATTAATGTAAACAAAATATAAAATACGTGGAACTTTTTGTAATGACTTACACAATGCTATGAATAAAGCCGTATTATTACTTATTTTTTAATTTCGTATGGTCAAATCCTTAAATAAATAAATATTCTTAGTAATAAATAAATATAAATACCTAAATATGGCTTCTGGTCTTTAAATTCCCATTAATTATTTTCTGTCTGGCATACTTTGCAAAATTTGACACACAATTTAACATCACTATAATTTGAACATCTTTATAAACTTCGTTGAATTTATATAGTGAAAGAAGATTCTGCAAATAATTTACACCCAAGTCTTTCATCCATTGTGTTGTGCTTGGTGGACTTGCATGGAAAAGAGTTTTTTGAATTGCACCAACTTTTCTGTCATGATTTACAGCCGAGGGTAAATGTCCATCAAGACTTGGTTACATGGTTAATCGTTGTTAAAAAGCATGAAATTGCGCTTAACTTTACCCTCAATTTTTGCATGCAATTCGAGTTCATCGACGGATATCAAATCAAGGGTGTATATGTATCTCGTACTTTCTAGTCATTGTTGAAATGCTGCAAATTTTTATCAGTCATCAAATCAGCAAAGTCTTTGTAAAATGTAGACCATGCGAATTTTATGATAAAATTTACAGTTTTCACAAGTTTACATCTCCTCAAGTCGTGAACTTGTGCACGACAACACGGTCAAGATAAATTTACCCCTTCTTTCGGCACATATTTTTTTAGACATCTCTATTAAAACTTGGTAAAGTTCAAAGAATATTATTACCATTTTCTGCTATTTACGAGAAGTCTTAATTTCACACTGGTCAATTTCAATTCAATAACTACCAAAGGGCGGATATGTATTGACGGAACATCGCTAAATATGTACATATTTAGTGTTTGTGAAATATTTATAAAATATGTATATACGAAAAAAGTTTGAAAACATAAAATTTTCCCAAAATTTGTGTTTCTAAATAAAATATTTTTTCTAGTCGAATTTCTTTGAGCAAAAAAATTCGTTGAAATATTTTCAAAATATATCTACCTCTTTTTGAAAAAATATCCTAAATATTTACGTATTTTTTAAATAATAATAATAGCTGAAATATTTACAAATATATTTATGTCTGAAAACCTAGAAATTGGTAACAATATGTAAAAATATTTTTAAACTTTTGTGATCTATAAGAGTTATGGAACACACCCACAAAGTTTGACCTTGGGTCATCCTAAAATGAAAAAGTTGAAAATGAATTCATATCCGCCCTCTCATAATTAAATACTCAATTAAATTAAAGGATTTGATTGTAGAAAATTTCTACATTTGCTTTATTGCAGGCATCTGTACATATCTACATGAGATTTATGTGACACTTTAATATTGATCTGTCCAAAACTCTCACTTTCTTCAAAGGGATCACATCAATCCCAGCAAATAGAGAGTAGTTTCACCAAATAACAACAAACCATTACTGTTCGTCTGGATTTAAGCTGCCCTTTGCATGAAAAAGGTTAATTTTAGCCACTTTAGAAACTTTGGGTGTTGTGTTTAAAGGCAAACTTTCAAACTTGGTTATGATGATGAGTTAGATTTTGGAGATGATGCGGAAGTGATGACCCAAATCCACAATATACATATTATTCATAACATGGTATGAGCAATGATGGTGGATTTAGGTTCAAATTCTGATTCTAGGTTGACACAGTTCCGTCATCCATAAATAATTATTTGGACCATTTCATCCGTGTGGATGGTACGTTTACCACTTGACATGGGCACAATGCAACTACTTACGATTATTATCTTTAACCTTTGGCTGGCACTGTAATAAATATAAATTTCCTTCGAGCATGACAGCAGAGATCATGTTGTTTTAAATTAGATTAGTGTCTGACTCCACATATCGCACCTTTCAAGATCCACTCGAAAGATTATGGTATTGAAATCAAATCATCTTTTATTTAACAATGCTGCGAGAATGATGTGCAAGTGTGCAAAAACTAAAGTTTTATACGGTAGTAAAAACGAGGATGCAGTTTAGTGTAAATTTCAGCTATAAAAATTTTGAGGCATGAAAAATTGCAATAATATGGACCTGAAAAATATTGTTTCAGTTGCAACTACATTTACTACATACAACATACTCATTGTTGTCGAAGAATGATGGGGTTAAATCGTTGGGTTAAGCTAAAAGCTTTCTAAAATATCATTCTGCTTTCTGCTGAACGATGATATTAAATTCTAAGATGATATTAAAAGTCTAATTCGTCCAAGATTTTATTTGATCATAATCATAGCTCCTGCATCTGTATAATAGTAATTTTATAAGCTATGCATATTAGTAGCGATGCTCCTGCTTGTTTCTTGCATACTGCATTTTATCACATTTCGTAATTGAGTCACTCTCTAAATAGCGTAATGGCAACGTTTGAATTTAATTTATCAAATCTAAATTGTAAGAAAAATATGATTCATGATTTTTTAAATGTGGACATTTTAAGACTTCTTAGCACTTTGCGCCTTCTGCGGGCATTTCTTCTGCGGCGGGTGCAATTTCCTCGTTTCCGGTTAAACCTTCTGGTTCGGGGAGTGGTTCTTCGGCAGCAGGGGGCGGATTTTCCATTGCAGGTTCTTCGGCAGGAGCAGAATTTTCGATTGCGGGTTCTTCGGCAGCAGGGGGCGGATTTTCCATTGCAGGTTCTTCCGCAGGGGGAGGATTAGCAGGTTCTTATGCAGGGGGAGGATTTTCGATTGCAGGTTCTGCTTCGACAACGGGCTCGTCATTTGCCACTTCTTGAGGTTTTTCAGCTTCTGGTGGCGTCTCTTCGTTTGCTGGCGGTGCTTCGGCTTCAGGAATGACTTCTACAGCGATGGGTGCACTTTCGGCAGGCATTTCCGGTTCCTCTGCTGCCGGTTCTGCAGGTACTTCCTCTGCTGCTGGCTCCGCCGGTGCTTCCTCTGCTAAGTGAACGACATTCGAATTGATTAATTTAAAAATCGAATACAAAAATTAAAGTTGGTAAAACCTTTTTTCTCAATTATTGGTGGGGCTGGTTCTTCCTCAGGAGCTCCTTCCGCAGCGATTTCTTCTGGAAATTGCAAAAAATAATTTTAATTTTAATTTTAAAAATATGTGCGATAGTTTATTGCCATCAGGTCTTGGATATGCTTCGGTTAGAAAAATTCCCACAGTAAAGACAAGCACGAGAAAAAATCTGAAAATTTTCGCCATTTTATATTTGGTTTTTATAACTTTTTCAATAATTCTGGTGATTATGGCAGTTTAGTTTCTCCTGTAACATTTACAACTTTCCAGTAACTTTTGATAAGTTGAGAACTGAATGAAGATACGCCACTTTGTCGCGTCCTTTTATATAAACGTGATAATGAACTGGGAATCTTCCATAAAAACTGTTGTACACATGATGTATTATTAGCCCAAATGTTATTAAAAACGCAGTTTTACATCATTGCATGAAAACAACAACAGTAACAGTTTATAATTTTATCAATTCATTGGTTTATTCTTATGGCAAATTTTATTTCATTTTTACAGAGACATTTTCTCTCTCGTAGCAAAGTACATTTCCTTCGAGGATGAGTGCAGACTGCAGACATTGAGGCAATTCACGCCCTCCTTCGTAACTACGTAAACAGCGTAAAATCGGTAAACTTACAAACGTTTACAAACTTTTACAAAAATTGCCAAGGAAAATCAGTTTACAAACTTTTGTAAACTTACGCAGCTCAGGGGCGTCTTTTAATTTTGTAAAGTATTTTGTAAACTCAATTTGGGGAAGAAAAAAAATTGTTCGATACAGAAATTTGGCATAGAGGTTGCTAATGGCTCCTAATGAAAGAATATGAACTGAAATTGACAAATTTTTCAAGCCGAGGTACCCGACGGGGTGACCCATACCGATTTTTCAAAATCATCCAGTCGAGCTGAAATTTCGTATAGAGGCTGCTAAAGGCCCCTAATGGAAGAATATGAAGTGAAATTGGTAAAATTTTCACATCCGGGACCCGTTGGGGTGACCCATACCGATTTTCATAACTTGTCTCAAAAAGCTGAAATTCGGAATGGTGATACTTCATAGCTTCTCATGAAAGAATATGAAGTCAAAGATGAACAAAAAATAACCAGACGGGCAATGAGGAAGGGGTACCCATACCGATTTCTGAATTTATATATTTAGCTAAGATTTAGTGTGGAGTCGAAAAATAACTTAGGATTAGAATTTAGGAAGGTTGAATTTGGAAATTTTTATAGGAACAGCCTCCACTGTTCGTGGTATATAGTATATCAATAAATGCAGCTCTACAAATCTTCCATTAATTTTTCTGGAAATGATCGGAATTTTGTTCCAATTATCAGATAAATTTTTACGAAAATAATTGCGAAAGTGAATTCACGGGAAGCTGTTTGTAAACGTTTGTAAGTTTACGGATTTTACGCTGTTTACGTAGTTACCAAAGGTGCGTGAATACCCTCATAATATTATGTAATTAATAATAACATATGATGCGAGCAGAATTGTTCAGAATTGGTAAAATTAATTATTTGATGAAAGCAAGTAAACATTGGTATTTGTTGAACACTGAAAAGTGACAAGAATAATAATGTTGTACATACTTACTTGTATGCAATAATATAAATAATATAATGATGATTCAGACGAAAGGAGTGAAGATTCGAATGTAAATTTTCCATAAAATAACAGAATCACTCATACAAAAAGGATTTGATTCCTTTCCATGATCGTGACAAAAATAATTATGAAGAATGTAATCAAGCAAAAAACATGAGTATTTATCCAGTTGTATCCATCTCGCCGATGATAATTGATGCTTGATTAAAAGTACAAATAATGAAATGAGATATGCAAAAAAATGAAAACTTTGGAACTAAAATTGAATTGAAATTATAAAATACATAGTTTTATTAAACATTTTTATACTGTCCTAAATACATGGATATCAATCGGTACATTAAGATCAGTGTCAGTAATGTCTAATATGAGACGACTTCAGCAGGGGACATGAAATCCAAAGCAAAACTCAATTCACCGGTGTTAAATTTAATTTTATCTTTAAAAAATTAATAAAATGTTTAGAAATCTAATTACCAGATCGGTTTTACTAACTAGTCAATCACAACAGTTATTTATTTCGCCGTGTTATTGTCAATTTCGTCATATATCCCAAAGCCGTACCAATTTTGCGCCTCCTACAGTGAGTGAATAATAAATTATTATTTTGTTGTCATTATTATCTTGTTGTGTAAATTTTAAATTGGCAAAATACAACATGTTTACAGAACCAAGAGGAAGATGAAACACTTGGAAAAGGAGATAAAATTATCAAGGTGCGATTACGGGGTACTAGATTGGATGCAATTTTGAAAGCTGGGTTAAACATAGCAAGAAGGTATTGTTTTTTAATTTCAATTACTGATAGAGATGGAAGTATAACACAATATACTTATTCTATTTTATAGTAAAATAGAAAAGTCATTTTACGAAGACAGAATAAGAGTGAATGGGGTCCGTGCGAAGAAAAAGAGTCAAGTTCTTGATGAGGGGGACGAAGTAGACATCGTTCGGGGACCTAATCAATCGAATCCATTATTTATTGATGTCAATCGTGTCGAAATTGTCGAGGTTGGAGAGACAAAAGATAAAAATGAAGACGATTTTGAATCAGATTCCGATGACGAAGGCCAAACAAAAATTCCCATGACTTTAAAGCGATACAAGAATCTTACGATTGAAAACTATCCAGTGCCCGTAAGTCAATTAATTATGGTGGTCCACGATCCACATATGTACCTATACGTGCATTTAGACATACTAATTATGCCTTCTTTATATTGCAGTGGAAAGGAAATGTGCAAGAAAATTAGGGCATATATATTTAGTGAAAGAGGTAGTAGTGATTGTACAGAAATTTTTATATAAGTATGTATTTCAAAGCTAAATACGATAAAAATATATTAATTTAATTCAATTTTGTACTAACAATGGAGGCGCAAACCATGTTCATCCGGGATTATTTAATGACCATGTTAGTTTGCAAGAGGAAGTCTTTAGAAACAACATTTGGCTCGGCACTTGCGCAGATGCGCAAAATTCAGCACGTTATGGGCGCCACAAGTTCGCAAAAACGCATGATTTTCGGCTCGCGCTCTACCGTGCATGAAAAATCATGCGTTTTTGCGAACTTGCGGCGCCTATAACGTGCCGAATTTTGCGCATCTGCGCAAGTGCCAAACCAAATGTTGTTTCTCAAGACTTCCTCTTGCAAACTAACATGGTCAAAAAATTATCTGGGCTGAACATGGTTTGCGCCTCCATTGTCAGTTATTATTTTATCTTTATTGAACATTTAAGATGTTGAAATTTTTTTCAACAGACTAATAGTTGACCCCTTATAACCGATTCCGAAATGGTTCCAGTGGTTTAAATGGTGGAATAGCTCGTAGATGTCTTGTCTTTCTGAAAATCCATCAGTTTTAGGGTTAATTTTAAAATACGCATTATAAAAACTTGGTGAAAATCCTCCAAACATGCGTGCAATGCCAAAATCAAATTCAGAATGTCCATAAAATGATGCAGGGTCGTAAATCACTGGAAAGTGCATTCAAGAGATTAAACCAAACATGTATCAGTTGCATCTTCAAAGAACATTTGACATTTTCAATCATTACCAGGTACACTTTCAGAGGAAGCAACATTTCCACTCCATAAATCGCCGTGCACCAAAGCAGGGACGATGTTGGCCAGTTTGCTTAATTGGGTTTCAATTTTTTGACAACACAGAGACCAGACATCATTCAAATCCCTGTCCCCTGCCTACATTCAATTGAAAGTCAGTGTCACATTGCATTGATTTACTCGATTTTTATGTATTTTATTTTTTACTTTATATATGTACCTTTCTTAATATTCGATCAACTTGCGCCTGCAGTTTCTGGCGTAAGTAAAATACCTGGACAGCAAAGGGTTTCAATCAAAATTTCAGAAAATGTTTTCAAAATTTATTGCAAAAATACCGTCCAATCTTCCTGCCAAGTATTGTCTTGGCTGATATATCCACAACAAGTGGGGACAGAAAATCCAAATTTTCTTACTACTTTAATACTAGAATCTGCATATATGAACGAGAAACTAACTTCAACATATGTATAATGGGACATTAATATTTTTAACCTTCATCCCCAGATCCTGTCGTAATTCGGGATTCTCCTTTGTGCATTTCATCCACTATCATTTTATTGTGGAGATGCATCCTATAAAATAATCAGAATTTCCTAATTGAACAGATCAATCTTTTAATAATACTATCTGTATGTATGTATGTATAATTTATTCACTGAACTTTTTCAGGCGCATAATACTATCTGTTATACCTGGCCAGTTGTTCTCCAAGAATTTCTTGTTGGTGAGAAGTCATCGACGTCATATTCAAGTTTTCCATAACCAACGCTACATTTGATCCATCCTTCACAATCGCAATCGGTTTAGGACAACGAATCGTTTCCGTTGCTAAAATAGCCTCCAATCCTGCTCGTTCTCCTTCAAACATGGTTAAAGCCTAATGAAAATCATAATTTACTTTGGACCCGTAGTAACTTTATGTAAACTACTCACATTTGATTTTTCATTAATTTTGACAAAAACGGTTCCATCATCTGTAATGTAAGAAGATCCGGAAGAAATAGAACCACCCCCACCTCGACCTGTCGGTCTAAAAGTCTTTGTGTCCAAGGCTTTCTTCACAGCAGCGTCCATTTCATGTAAAAATTAGATTGGATTGGAATGTCTAAGGTTTTGTAATTTGTTTACTAACAAGTATGTAAATAAAACCCTCGATCGTGAATTTCACACGTGAAACTTCAGAAGCAGGATTTCACTTTCCTTCCTGTGATACAGCATTCCTGTTAAATTTGCGAGTTCTGGCCATGGATCTAAAGGAAGGTTCTGGCACAGCATATGTATGTATTTGTATAAGTACATAATACGGTCCGTAACTGCATATTACGCTATATCGGATTTATGCAAGACAATTTAAATTTAAAGCGTGTCAACTTGTTTTAGCATTTCAGCCACGAATGACAAGAGATGAGATTTTTTAGGCCTTTTAAGATGGCCTTATAGATTTGTCAGGATGTCTGTCTGTCCCTCTGTCTGTCTGTCTGTACGCACGATAACTCTCTTTAAACACAAGCTATCGACTTGAAATTTTGTACACTTGATCTTCGGGTAAAAAGTAAGGATGAGTTCGAAGATGGGCATGATCGGTCAAGTGGTTGGCCGGTGGGGGTCATTTCTATCTAAATGTGTTGCCCTTAACTACCAAGAACCTTTAGAGCAGGTTAAATTATGTAACTGCAAGTAAAATATTTGTAGCTTGAGAAATATCTATAGTAATAATTTTCAGTAATTTTAGTACGAAGATTGCGACAGACCTCAAGGCCGTCAAAGCGTATAAATTGGAGTGAAGATACAGAAATTTGAACCTGGGAGACCCGATACGATGACCCCACCGATTTCTAAAATTTGTCGTAGGAAGCTGAAATTGTGTACAAAGGTTGCTAATGGTTTGAAAATGGACAGAAAAAATGAATTTAGGTTGGAAAAATTTTCATCTTGCGGGACCTTAAATCAGTATGGGGTGACCCATACTGATTTTTCAAAATCGTCATGTCGAACTGAAATTTGGTAGAGAGGTTGCAAATCGATCTTATTGGAACAATCCGAAATGAAATTGGTAAAATTCTTAACTGGAGCGACCCTATGGGGTGATCCATACCGAATTTTAGAAATTGTTTTAAAAACATGAAATCCGGCACAGTAATACTTACAATTAGTAGCTTCTCATTATAGAATTTGCAATTAAAAGTTAGTTAAGTGCAAACAGAATGACCCTGCAGGGTGACACATACCATTCTTAGCCCCAACCAGGGCTTATCTAATTGTCATGTCCGTCTGTCTTTCGATAACTCTCAAACGAGTTGACCGATTTTTACCAAATCTGGTACAGACATGTATCTGGGCAATCCAACGAACGAGTTCGAAGATGGGCTCGAGATGAGAAAAGATTTTGACCAGTGGGGGTCATATGAGTGAGTAGGGTATTATGGATCAAAATTTCAAAATTGTGATACAAAGCTGAAATTTGCGCGAGCTGAAAGCTGAAATTTTGAGCGTGCTAATGGCTTCTAATGAAAGAATTTGAAGCAAAATTGGAAAAATTTTCATATGCCGGACCCGTTGGGATGACCCATGCCGATTTTTATTAATTGTCGTAAAAAGCTGAAATTCGGCACAGTGATACTTACAAGGAAACATACCGAGGTGTCCAACGAGTTAAGGGTCGAGACCTATACCAAAATGACCACAATACATGACTTATTAAACAAACTGAAGGAATTTCCGTGTAAAATTCACTTTTCGTCAAGTTGTGACGATATTTGTGACGAGCGCATGACCATCCGGTTGCCAGCGGGAGAGGTCGGCCGCTGAAGGATCAGGTCGACCACAAAGATGCGTCTTCGTCTTCACGTCGTCGTCTTCACGTCGTCTTCAGAGATTTCAAATTATATCAAATTTTGAAAACCACTTGAAATTTTGAAAAAAATTTGAAATTTCTTCAAAATTTCAAAAATTTCTTCAAAATTTCAAAATTTTCTCAAAATTTCAAAATTTTCTCAAATTTTCTCAAATTTTCTAAAAATTTCTAAATTTTCTCAAAATTTTTTCAAAATTTCAAAATTTTCTCAAATTTTCTCAAATTTTCTAAAAATTTCTAAATTTTCTCAAAATTTTTTCAAAATTTCAAAATTTTCTCAAATTTTCACAAATTTTCTAAAAATTTCTAAATTTTCTCAAAATTTTTTCAAAATTTCAAGATGTTTTCAAAATTTGAAAGAATTTGAAATCTCTGAAGAAGAAGACGCTTCTCTGTGGTTGACCTGATCGTTCAGCGGCCGACCTCTCCCTCTCTGGCAACCCGATCGTCATGCGCTCGTCACAAATATCGTCACAACTTGACGAAAAGTGAATTTTACACGGAATTCCTTCAGTTTGTTTAATAAGTCATGTACTGTGGTCATTTTGGTATAGGTGTCGACCCTTAACTCGTTGGACACCTCGGTATGTTCCCTTGTTAATGGCTTCGCATGAATTAATATAAAGTCAAATATGAACAAAAAGTAACCAGGGGCACTAAGGGGTGACCCATACCGATTTCTAAGAGTTTATTCATGCAACTGAAAATTACTGAAATTTAGTATGGAGTCGAGAAAGGACTCTGGATTAGACTTTAGGAGGATTGAATTTCGAAATTTTAAGAATTGGTGCAAAATAGTTGATAGTAGCCCACAATTTTATAGAAAATGCTGACAAACATGAGTTTACTAAACATTAAGCAAAGCTGAAATGATAGGTTATTAAAAGTTGTAATTTTCATCTGAAATTTGGTATGTAGGCTAAAAACCGCTTCTGGATAACACACAGCTTTAGAAGTTCAAGATGTTAAAGAAGCCCACTGGTCCTGGTAATCAAGTGGAAGGATTTGTAAACAATTCAAAAATTTGGTGCTAAATAATAGAAAATATCCAACAAACATTTAATCATCCATCACGGACGTTGGTTATGTCGGTCAATTCGGAGAAAAATTTAGAAGTGGGAGTCAGAGAGTCCCTGACTCGCCGAGTCAGGGACTCTGTCCCTAACTCGGGCTAAATGGAGTCTGCACTGTAGGTTTTTAATGGTTTATACCAACAATGAATCACGAAATTATAGCCAAATGAGTCTGAGTTTTTGTGCATGCCATCTAAAAAGGCCCCGCGAAGTTGCTTGAAGTAGGTTTTATTACTATAGTAGCATATTTTATTTCCCTAATAAATGATCAACAATAATTGCTAGGAATCTAGGATTATTTATTACTCTATAAAAATTAATTGACACCGTTTCTATGGTACACTCACGTCCAAAAGCTTTTGTTTGATCACTTTTCCCTCAAGTTTTTGAAAAAGTTGTTTTCTTTAGTTCCATGGATACTCAAAATGCAATTCATGCCATCAATATTGCAATTCTAAGCCAATTTGTGCTCACTTTATGACCAAATATCTAAACTGCGCAAGAGGGCACATTGTCAAAAAAAAGTTAGTAAAACCTAAAGATATGATTAACAAATTAAACATAATTTGAAAAATGTGCCCTCTTGCGCATTGCTGAATTTTATGGTCAAAGTTGACATGATTTCTAAGCAACTTCCCCCGGGCCCTTAAGTACGAGTATCACATACGTACAAATCATAGATCATAACATGCCTAAAAGAACTACATGCAATTCAATAAACTGTGTTATAAAATTAAATTATTTTGTACATACACAAATTCAATGCTACGAGACGATTTTTTGCTCGAAGAATTATACCACAAGTAGCATTAAATTCACAAGCCAAATTATCTATTCGAAAATTTTGAAGTACACGATACGAAACATTTGTTCGCGTTTACACCAACACCAATATTTTTTTAGGGTTTCACTTAACCAAATATTTTGTCGTGACACCCTAAGAATGTTACACCCTTCAAATGTTGGGTGTGGTGACACCAAAAAAATGTTGGCGGTCGTGTAAACCCCCAAAAAATGTTGGCGGTCGTGTTGGGGGTGCGATAGACCCCCAACAAATGTTGGGGTCCGATAGACCCCCAACAAATGTTGGGGTCCGATAGACCCCCAACAAATGTTGGGGTCCGATAGACCCCCAACAAATGTTGGGGTCCGATAGACCCCCAACAAATGTTGGGGTCCGATAGACCCCCAACAAATGTTGGGGCCCGCTAGACCCCCAACAAATGTTGGGGTCCGCTAGACCCCCAACAAATGTTGGGGTCCGATAGACCCCCAACAAATGTTGGGGTCTGCTAGACCCCGAACAAATGTTGGGGTCCTGTAAACCCCCACCAAATGTTGGGGTCCTGGAGACCCCCAACAAATGTTGGGGTCCGGTAGACCCCCAAGCAATGTTGGGGTCCGGTAGACCCCCAACAAATGTTGGGGTCCGCTAGACCCCCAACAAATGTTGGGGTCCGATGGACCCCCAACAAATGTTGGGGTCCGCTAGACCCCCAACAAATGTTGGGGTCCGATAGACCCTCAACAAATGTTGGGGTCCTGTAGACCCCCAACAAATGTTGGGGTCCTGTAGATCCTCTACAAATGTTGGGGTCCTGTAAACCCCCAACAAATGTTGGGGTCCGATAGACCCCCAACAAATGTTGGGGTCCTGTAGACCCCCAACAAATGTTGGGGTCCGCTAGACCCCCAACAAATGTTGGGGTCCGCTAGACCCCCAACAAATGTTTCAGGTCCGATAGACCCCCAACAAATGTTTCAGGTCCGATAGACCCCCAACAAATGTTGGGGTCCGGTAGACCCCCAACAAATGTTGGGGTCCGGTAGACCCCCAACAAATGTTGGGGTCCGGTAGACCCCCAACAAATGTTGGGGTCCGATAGACCCCCAACAAATGTTGGGGTCGGCTAGACCCCCAACAAATGTTGGGGTCCGCTAGACCCCCAACAAATCTTGGGGTCCGCTAGACCCCCAACAAATCTTGGGGTCCGCTAGACCCCCAACAAATGTTGGGGTCCGCTAGACCCCCAACAAATGTTGGGTCCGTGACCCCCAACAAATGTTGGGGTCCTGTAAACCCCCAACAAATGTTGGGGTCGGATGGACCCCCAGCAAATGTTGGGGTCCTGTAGACCCCCAACAAATGTTGGGGTCCGATAGACCCCCAGCAAATGTTGGGGTCCTGTAGACCCCCAACAAATGTTGGGGTCCGATAGACCCCCAACAAATGTTGGGGTCTGCTAGACCCCGAACAAATGTTGGGGTCCTGTAAACCCCCACCAAATGTTGGGGTCCTGGAGACCCCCAACAAATGTTGGGGTCCTGTAGAGCCCCAACAAATGTTGGGGTCCGATGGACCCCCACCAAATGTTGGGGTCCGATAGACCCTCAACAAATGTTGGGGTCCGATGGACCCCCAGCAAATGTTGGGGTCCTGTAAACCCCCAACAAATGTTGGGGCCCGATAGACCCCCAGCAAATGTTGGGGTCCTGTAGACCCCCAACAAATGTTGGGGTCCGATAGACCCCCAACAAATGTTGGGTCT